CTGTATAAATGGGACAGGCTCCCTGAGCAGAGTTTGAATATCTCCTTTTATTACCCCCCTGACCGTATGCAAACAGGACAGGCTACACAATTTGTGGGGCCCATTAATAATGAGCACGGGGGCTCCTTGTTACTAATTATTAAAAAGTTCAAGACAGCCACAGCGGAGCATTATACCAAGATGGGCTCTGCTGAACGTGGGACCTCATGTGCCCACACGAGTCACACCCCATAAAGCTGGCCCCATACACAGGACTGTGGGGAACGGGGCTAACTATCAAGGTTGTGACCCAGGAAGGCTAAGAATGCCTATAACTAAGGGCACATGAGGGTCCCTGCTTCTCAGCCCCACTTCCTTCCCCACTCGGCCTGGCAGGGGCTCCCAGTTTTGACCCACGGGGTAGAGGGGGTGGTGACAGGTTGCAGGGGCAGACTTTGGAGGAGGACAGGCCCTGGCAGCCAGGGGAAGAGAGAGACGATGCAAGAGATGGAGGATGGGGCAGGACTGCGTGTGTGTGGGGGAGGCAAAGAGAGCATGAGGCTGACCCCCAGCGTGGGGCTCATGCAGCCAGGCCAGCAAAATGCGAGTGCTGTTCAGGGAGACGGAGAGAAGTTAGCAGGTCCCATGTCCAGTTTTGCTTTGCTGGATTTAGCAAAGGGAATAAACCATCCCATTCTAGCCATGAAGAGGTGTCCAACTCAGAAGGAAGATTAGGCGATATACAAGGGGTCCCTGGAGTGGAGATGGCATTTAGCCACATTGGGCTGGAGGAGGCCGCCTGGGTGTGCACAGCTGCAGGTTCCATCACTCTGGGCACATTACTGCGGCCCTGCCGCTCTGCACCCTCGTTTGTGACATGGAGACCAGGAGGACATCCTCCTCGCAGGCTTTCCTAAGTGCGCTTGTGAGAGGGAAATGCTGAGCACGGCCTGGCACCCGGAGTATCAGCTGGTGTTATTACTTATCATTATGGTTCTATCCCTTCTACAAACATCTATTGAGCCCCCACCATGGCTAAAGATAGAGGAAAGCAGAGAGGGGGGCCGTGAGGTGGGGAGAGATGTCCATAAAGAGGGCAGTCGGGGACCCTGCTGAGAGAGTGAATTTGAGCAATACCTCTGAGGTGAGGGAGTGAGTGCACCACGTGGATGTCTAGGGGAGAAGGGTTCCAGGCAGAGGCAGCAGCCAGGGCCAAGTCCCCAGGGAGAGATGCAGGAGGTGAGGCCAAGAAGCAAAGGGTGGGGGAGCTCGTAAGGTGGCTCCCACGTGGCAAGAACAGGCCTCCCGCACAATGAGGCAGGAGGTTCTCCGACGCAGCAGAGATGGCAAGCTCTGCAATGGTGGAGGGCGTCAGCTGTCCACCTGGCAGTGCCCAAGGCTGTGGACAGTCTTTGAGGCCGCCCTTCCCTCCACCCATCTTCCTAGAAAGGCCTCACCTGGCAGAACAGGCTCACTGGCTGGGGCTCTCCTCTTGGCTCTGGAATGTACTGTCCCACTCGGCTGGGTCTTTGCTCCATGGCTCCCAATCAAAGCACAAATTCGACTCATTTTCCTCTGACTCTGTGGAGGAGTAAGTAAGACAAGGCTTTTTGAATGGTCACATTCTGTCTCCTCTCCCTGATCCACAAGGAGCCCCCTGCCAGGCCTGGGCATCCCTGCAGCCTTGTCTGAGGCCAGGGGGCCGGCCCTGAGACCTCGGGGAGATTCCGGGGCCTGGAATGGTGATCAGGGATCAGAAAGGTTGCTCTGTAACTCACAAAGGGGCCACGTCCACCTACTAAACAGGAAAGGACCCTGAGATGAGCTAATGGCCTACCTGCATCAGGCACCGTCCAGGAGCAGGCACGGAGGAGACACAAACCCAACCATCCATTTGTCCACCAGTCCATTCAGTCACAAACATCTGAGTATATACCAGTAGGAACAATGATTTCCATTGCAGCCTTGTTTTGTGGTAAAATACACACACACACACACACACACACACCAAAACACCCTAAAAACCATGTGCGTGCACGTCCATCGTGAGAGTTCTGGTTGGTGGAAGTGTGACACAGTCACACCTAACGGAGGCCCGCCCGTCCATCCGGTGGCCGGTCATGAAGCTGTTACAACTGCATTGGGTCTGTGCCTTTCAACCTGCAGGATGTCTATGTGTTTCAAGCAAGCTTCAGAGGAATCTATGTGTAGAATCCCCTCTCCCCTTTTTCTTTAAACCTGCAGGTGTCATTGAATAGGTGCATAAGCTTGCTCACATGGCTTACCTGGGGAGGCCAGGAGAGAAAGGCAAGAAGGCAGAGGAGGTTGTTATTTTTCTAACTACATCTACTCTTATTTCACCAGCTGCGAAGAAGTAAAGAAGGCTGAAAAAGGCCCTCAGATTGCAGACCGAGAGCCGGCGTCAGAAAAGACTGAGCCTCATTGTCCTCATCTGTAAAATGGGCACAACAATAGCCTCTTTTATAATGAGGGTTGACTGAAGTGAGATTTGGAAAACGGGCATTCACCAGTGCTGGCAGTTGGCAGTTAAAAATCAGCGCCATGGCTTGAAGCGGCTGATCTTCACTAGATATGGCGATTGTTTTCTGAACGCGAACTATGCACTGTGTGTTTTACATGCCTTTTCTCACTTAACCCTCTTAACGACTTCCTGAGGCAATAACCGATGGTCTTCATGTTCTACAAGGGGAAGGCTCAGGAAGGCAGTGTCGGCTCACAGCCAGGAAGTGGTCCTCTCCTGTACGAGGTGCCACGTGTTCCGTCGGGTGCACCGTTTGAGGTCGGGGACTTCAAAGGCAGCAGCTCACTCCAAGGACCAGCTGAGGAGCGGTCAGGACCCTCCACAGGCATAGCCTATGGTGCCCACTCCTGTTTTAGCCATAAGTCCCGTTATTTGGAGGTCTCCCCTCTTCTTTCTGCAAATGCCAGGGTCTTCCCCGTGAAGGGCATGCTTGGCGTGGTCCTCTCTCCCTATAGAACGGCAAGGGGTCAATGCTGGCCCCAGGGCCAGCTTCCCGGGGCTCACCAGAAAGCTTCCTTCTCTCCGCCCTCTTGCTTCCCCCTCTCCTGGGGAAACTGCGTACTCCTTGGCCACATTGGCCATGAGGCATGTTACTCAACCCTCTGCCTCCTGGGCCCTGAAACTGCCCCGTGGAGCCTGGCCAGGCAGGGGAGGGAGAGGGAGTCAGAGCTACTCTTGTCTGCTTTCCACTGGATTCCAGGCCAACCTGACTCCCATAAAGAGATCCACAGCAGACAGAAAACCACAGAGGAGGATATTGCAAGCCCCAGCCCCCGCCAAACCCTAGCTGGCCCAGACCCCGGATTTGGACCAGTTCCCAGCACAAGGACAGAACAGAAGCTGTAATACTGAGAGTTCCAGGAAAACAGAGACCATGAAGAAGGGCTGCTCACTCACTCTGGGGGCAGTTTCTGTTCATTGCAAAATTAACAAACGAACCCTGGCTGGCATGGTTCAGTGGTTAGAGCGTCGCCTCTAAGGAGAAAGGGGAGAAGGGGTGGGGCGGGGCAGGTTGTGGATAGCTTCCAAGCAGGGCCTCCAAGGAGAATGAATTGTTGCAGGAAATCAATGCCTTAGACCTCAGGGAAGGTGTCCCTTCTCCTTCCAGAAATGCCACCCAAAGCCACTGCTATTCTTCCTCCTACCTTGACAAAACCACTATGGACTAGATTATTTCTCAGCCTGCAAGCACCTACCATGTGTACCTGTGCTGTGTGCCCCGCCCTTGCTGTGCATCTCTGCAAAAGGGCATGACCATTGTTATCTCCGTTTTGTAGATGAGAAAACCCAGGCTCGGGAAGGGCTTGTCCAGAGCCACACAGCTGGTAGGTGCCAGAGCCGGGATAGGCAGTCTTAAATAGACTCGGCAGTCCTAACTGCTCCCTCGGTGTGTGACCGTGGGCAGGTGGCCTCTCTCTCAAGCCTCAGTTTCCTCAGTTGTACAGTAAGGACTACTTCACAGGGTGATTCTGAGGGCTAAATGAAACAATACGCATCAAGTATTGAGCACAAGTCCTAGTGCACAGTGTTCAGAAAAGCCTAGCTATCATCAAGAACTGTTGAGGGGCAAAGCTGGAATCTGGGCCCCTATCCTCTAGACTCCAGACCGACGCTGTTATAGCCACTGCACAGACACGTGTGCTGACTCCACCAGCCACCGCCTGATGCCCAAGGGCCAACATGCACCCTGGGAATGAGGAGATCTTTCTTTAAATAAACGCTTTCTAAAAGCTCTTACCAGGAACTCCCAATACTTACACCACGACCCCCACATTTGAAATCCTGGGGTACATAGGGGATGAACTGCTCACCCTGTCTCAATGCCATCTGACCAGAGGTGGCAGCACACTCAGTGCCCTCCCTGCTTGCCCAGTTGGCTAAAGTTCATGGGGCTGAGGAGCAGGAGGTGGGAGGTGAAGCTGTTGCGAGGAAGAGGCCCAGAGAGACAGGACAGGCAGGGAGTCATTCCCGCCATGTGGCCAAGCTGCGCACCTGCCCACCCCCAGCTCCCAGAGGCCATCTCCACCCAGCATGCTGAGCTCAGGACCCCGTGTCCCCAAGAAACCAGGGATGTATTACCCTCCAGGGAAAAAGGGTGAGTGGTCACTGGCCCCTGATAAATGCCTAAGGCTGCCACCTCCCACTGTGCAGTGTTTGCTGCCCAAGAGCACCGAGCTGAAGGGCGAGAGGGACTGAAACCCAGCCTACACTCTGCTCTCAGAGCCTGTGCCCTGGCTGCATTCACAGGAAGGGACACCTTCTACTAATTCACCTGCCCAGAGGGGTCACCACTTTCCGAGGGCCACCGCTAGCACCAAAGACCTTCCGTGCCAGCCGTGGCCCTCAGGGGACACACACCCATGCACATACTGCTTCCCAGGCGAACTCGGGGATTCACCTGGGCTCTAAGGAACTAAATTACCACATTAGTCCTTTTTCTCTCAGGTGACCAGTTGTCGGCTCGGAGCCAACAGGGAAAATGCCCTCAAAGCAGCTCCTTTCTCCGCAGTGGTTTCGACCAGACCCCTGCCCAGCTCCAGGATTAGGGCCCAGCCTGGGTGGCTCACCTTGGCTAAGTAAGAAGCGAAACCAGACGATCAACAAGAACAACAGCAAGGCCACGGGCAGGCCGAGCCAGAAGACCAGGAAAGAGAACGTGAGGTCGTTCACCAGCGGCACCAGAGGGTACTTCATGGTGCGTGTGAGGCCACGCCGGGCCAGCCTGAGCTGGGCTGGCAGGGCTGCCCTGGGGAGCTGGTGGGCTGGGCCACGCTCTGCTCTCAAACCAATTGTGACTGAGCCGGTGACGTAACAAGGAAGTCACAGTGTCCTTCAGGGAAGGGAGAGCTATTTGAATGAATGGTCAGGAGCCTTGGCAGTGAGAGTAAGCCCGGGCAGGCCTGCGTTTGAATCCCTGCTGAGTTGCTGTTGGGTTCATGCACCACCTCTGGGATCCTCTCATAGGATGAGGAATAATTAATTTTTTCCTCACCAAGCTGCTAAAAGTTAGAAAAGCAAGTGCTGAGATAAGCATTGCTCACAGGTGGGTGTTCATGTATTTGAGGTCACAGAATCCTCTAGAAGCCAGCCAGGTCCCTGATCCAAAATTCAGGCTCCATGTGCCCACACTTAGGCTTGGTGGGTGTGGTGGGGACTATGCAAACCGGATGGAGCGCAGAGCCTCCAAAGCAGACAGCTGTCCCAGGAACTGGTGTGTGGGGAATGCAGGTCCAGTACAGCCAGCTCTCCTGACTTCTACGAGAGCCAAAACATCAGAGTTTTTATGTGAAATCTGCCAATTTAAAAATACCGAATCGAACATTAAAATACTATTGGCTACACAAAACAAGTCTGGTGGGCCAGACTGGGTCACTGGGCTGACATTTAAACACTTTCTAACACACAGTAGGCCCTCCGTACATGATTCTTATTTAATGAGGAAGCTCTGGCACCTCTCCTTATTAGGGAGTCCAGTGAGGAGCTTCTAAGGCTTTAACCGTGTTCCCTTATCTCCCAAGTGGGCAGAATACTCCCAAATGCCATTCTTGCCTCCTCCCACCCCACCTCTCCTTCACTCATTCATTCATTCATGAACCTCCACGTGCCAGGCCCTGAGGGAGGAGGCTCCGGAACTCGCAGGGCCCCATAGTCCCTGAGCTGGAGCCTGGTGGGTGCGGGAGGTCCACACCAGTGGCTGCTGTGTGGGAGGGAGGCAGCATCTAGGGGGGTCCTTGGACCACCTGCCTGTCACTGCCAGCAGGTGGGTGGGGATGCAGGGTACTTGGGAAACACACTGAATTCCTTGCTCACCTTATTCTACTAAGTCAGAACCTCCAGGGGCTGAGGCCTGAGACTCAACACATTCCTGGACAACCATTCTGCTGCAGACTTGATTTCAAGACCACATCATTTCAGGCTGGAAAGCCGGGTAGACCAAGCTCCAGGCTGGTGGAGCAGCTGCACAAAGTGGGTGGTGGACCTAGAGGGAGACATGGGCTGAAAGGAATCCCTCCTAGGAAGCCTGGGGAGAAAAGCAAGTGGGCCAGCCACAAAAAAAGAAAAAAAGGGAGGGGAGACCAGCCGGAGTGGCTCGACTGGTTGAGCATTGATTGTCCTGTGCACCAAAAGGTTGCTAGTTCGATTCCCTGTCAGGGCACATACCTGGGCTGTAGGTTCCATCCTTGGTTTAGGGCACATACAACTGATAGACACCTCTCTCACATTGATGTTTCTCTCTCTCTCTCCTTCCTCTAAATATGTCCTTTGGTGAGGATTAATTAAACAGATAGCTAGATAGCTAGAGAGGAAGCAAGAGAGGGGAGAGCTGGGGCTTGGAGGGCCAGTGTGCTTAAAGGAAGGCTTAGCCCAGATGTGGGGTGACCAGAGTCCTCAGAGGAAGTCTGGGCAGAGAGTATTAGAATGTGTCCAAGAAGCAGTGCCCTGATGGGCTGTGCCACTCAAGACCCAGAGTTCAAGACCAGAAACTAGGTGGGCTGGGTTGGGGTGATTTCTTGGCCCCGGGTCCTGAAAGGTCTGGGGTCAGAGAGAGCAGGACAGCACAGGTGGGAAAGGCTCAAACACGTTTTCTTGTCAGATCCTGAAACGGCCGCTGTGCAGCCAGCCCAGGGAGAAGCCTCCAGCCCCCCCGGGCTAACTGGAGGTGCTGGGGTGGGCAGGAGCGGACGCAACTGCAGGGAGGTAGCTCCCCGGTGCAGACCAGGGGCCACACCCTAACTTCACCTGGAACCAGTGCCAGGCTGGAGGGAGCGGCTCTAGGCAAAGGCACCCATCCCTATCCCGAGTGGCCCGACCACCCCCCATGTGTCACCTGGGCAGGAAGATGCTAACCTGGCCCGTGGAATCCTCTGCAGCCAAACCTCTCCCCTTTCCTGACTGGCCAGCCTGGCAGAGCTCGGTCCTCTGTGGGCACGCAGCACAGTGTGTTCCGTGTCTCGGGACTGCTGCCCCTGGGATGTGGCCCCTGCTGGCAGGGCCTTCATTACACAAGCTCCTTCTAGTGCAGAAGCCAAACACTTTGACCAAGTCTGAGTACTTGACGAGACCCCCCAAACCAAGGGCAAACATTGGAAAGAGTAAGTTAGAACACCTACACAGGAGTCAAACCCCGGCCCAGGACCAAAAGCACACACAACGTTAGTAGATAAGAATCTCCTTAAAATTTAATTGACTAAATGTATTACATTCAATATTCCAGGGGTTTCTTCTGGACAAAGGATCAGCATAAATACAAACAAGCCTCTGGGCCTCCTTCCCGAACCAACGAAGAGAAAACACAGGAGGCAAGGGACACGGCCTTCATATGTACATTTCGCCTTTACTTTACAGTTCAGGGCCAGAAATATTTACAGAAAATACAATAAGAAAAAGGGCATGTCTTGGCAACATATTGAAATTCATACAAACTGTATATATGGTTTCAAGCAAATAATGATACTGCCTAACTTTTAGCCACAACTGCCAAGCCCTTCGGAGGAGAAAGATGTTCTTGGTCACTGCAGGAGACAAGGACTTGGGAAACTTGGTTTGCTTCAACAAATATTTATTGGGCGCCTACTATATGCAAGGCACTGTGGAATCCCAAATTACACCTCTTCCCTCACCGTTATAAAAAAAGAAAAGCATCTGAAGAACATGAGTTGATACTCTTGAGAAAAACACTATACAGTAAGTACATGGCTTCTTTAGCTACCGAGAAAAGAACCCCCGTTTGCTTCCGCATTCAGTGGGTGGACTATCTCCAATCTTTCCATCTCAGGAAAAGAGGCTGTCATGGAAATTCTTAAAACAGACCCTCTAATGCAACTTATCAATTCATGTAAACATATAAATCATTTTTTTTTTTAGGAAGATATAACCTGAATGGGTTTTTAAGTGCTGAATGGAGAACTACTGCCAGCAGGAGTGTCAAATTATCTCTATTATACCTTTTACCAGCTACTTTTTACAAACCAAGCCTTTGAGCAATGCCAACTCCCACTTTGGGTAAAGTTCACCTGCCAGCAGAAATAAATATTCTTGAAGACTCTGCCTCTTTAAATAGCAGTCTGCAGAACATGACAGAGTTCCTCGGTGCACGTAGAAGTAACCATTTGTGAAGACCTTGCGATATTACTAGCCAAAGCTGTAGGCTTTTGTATTTATGAGGCCAAAGGAGAATGGGTTGCCCTGAAGTAGAGGACCTGGAAATGGCGAGCAAGGTGGATGCGTGTGTATGTCTGTGTGTATGTCTGTGTATGTGTCCTGTCAACCCACAATGTAACTATTCCTGTCAAACAGCCAATGGGCAGGAGTAGGGGGTACTTAGGGGAAAGCACTAAACAGAAGGGCAAGTTGGCTGAACAAGGAAAGGGTTAAAAAGGCAAAAGCCCTGTCACTGCTCTTAGTGCTTCCAGAGAGAGGAAGAGGAAAGCCTCCATCACCAAGCGCAAGCTAGAAGGACTAGCTGCCTCTGTGCCTCGGGTAATGCTTTTCTTGTCACGAATGCCACACTCATCCACCTCCCGGTGCACCTGTCACATGCAGCAACTAAACCGTCTGAGCCACAAGCCCAAGCGGACCTGGCTTCCCCCCAAAGGTTACAAACGCACGCTAGCAAGCTTATAGAGTGGACTTCAAAAACTGGTACCAGGGACTAACTATGCTCCTCTGTCATTGTTCTACTCAGTGACTTTAACAAAGGCAGGAAGGTGACCTTAGTGACCGTGAACTCAAACCCGTAATTCTAGTTAAAGGTGCAAGGGCTCTCACCACACCTCCTTTTAAAAGTAGATGTTATTTTGAACAGAAGGAACCAGCATCTGACGAGGTCTGCATACGTCGTCCTGATTGCGCCTTATATACTGGATTTTGTAGTCCTGAATCCCTCCCTCCTTCCCTGGGAGACCACTAGATCTTTCAGGTCACAAATTCCATTCAACACAGATGTTCACTTATCAAAGCCATTCGAATTACAAGGAGTTGCTAGAAATTAGAGCAAACTACAGGATCAGGAAGTCTACCCCCAACATGCACACCACAGTACCTTTTGCTGACTTAGTAGTAAAAATAAGCCAAAGGTAAAAGACCTGAAAAACCTCACTGAGGAAGCACAGCTATTTTTAACCTCTGGAATGTTGTAAGCTGTACATTAACTTATAGCCTCCTGTGTTCACAACTAGAACAAGGGCCCTTTTTTCCTTTGAATGGTCAATCTGGAACTTCCATAGAACTGTTAAACCTCGCCTTATATCTGCTGAGCTACTGAAACATTTTTAGAGTAGAACTTCCTAAACTTTATCATACATACCCCTCCTCCATGCTACCATCTGGAAACAACAATTTATTGCCCAGATTACAAAGAAAATCAATTACTGAATACATTATACCCTGAATGGGAAGTGGAGTCATAGAAAGTTTTACCTGAGCTTAAAACAAACATGAAGAAAAAGTAGAGCAAACTTAAAACCAGGAGCCACTATGACCACATTTCTTGCTCATACATGACAAAATATGTACTTCTGAAACAGAAATATCTACACAGGGAATTAGGCCCTACACACTATCCTCTGCCCCCTAATTACCAAAACATCAAACCAAACAGACCATTACATCCCTAACCTACAGAATCTATTGACATCAGACGTCAGGTGAGAAATCACCCCTTATACAACCGTGACCACTCCTTTTTTGGACTTTAAATGTCACTTATTTTCTTAACATAAAATGATCTTAATAAAGAGGAAAGCGCATAAGAATAGGAGAAACAAGCAGTGTCTACTCTAGTGCTTTAGCAGGAATCCTTGTAACGATGTTCTGGGTCTGGCCACCTCAAAACATTTATCCCTGGCAGAAAAGTAGCAGCGAGGTAACATGTATTTCCAAAACCCGGGCTGGGATTTGTTGTGCCTTCAGCTGGCAAAGTCCAGAAAATACGACAATAGCCATTTTTAACAGCAGCCACCCAAGCAGGTGGCCACTAATGCTTGTCAACAGTCTGATGAAATCCAGTGGCTCTCTAGGAGAGATCTGAATTAGTAGTGGTGAGAGGCTATTTCCTGAACCCCAAATTAGAATCCTTCATAAACTACCGCAGTCTCCTGCTTGGTCCTGAAATAAGAGACAATGAATGAAACCAAAATTTTCAACCCTTGTTGTGAATTTATATTTCTTACTATTTAACCAAGAAATTACCGAGGAGTTACAAATGTTTACCCTGTCATTATGTCATCAAGCTAGCCAACACCAGAGAGTGGAGGCATCCCTGCTGACTTACAACTTCTAACCCCACAAACTCTTCTGTCCCTCATTGAAGGACAGGGCCATGCCTCCGTGTTAGATCTGCCCCTGGGCTGCCCAGAAACGAGGCCTTCAGGCAGGTCTGTGCAGTAATGAGCATAACTTTTTGAAATGTGGAGAGAAAATATGAAAGATTTTAATGCCAGACTTCATATCTGAGCCAAAAAGAAGTCCACAAGTCCTTTTCTGTCAGCTGGACAGCTGGATGACAGACAGATGACAAAGGGACCTAGGAGTGAGCAGAAAGTTGAGATTTCTTTCCTTTTCCTGCATGCTATCAACTTGAGTCTTCCAAGGTCCTGAAGATTCTGAGACAGATTTTAATTTGAACACAACCTCCTAAAAAAGTGAGGTATAAAATTATCTTCAACTTCTAATTTGCAAATTTGATACTACCAATGCATGTATTTAACTAAGATGCATAAAAGCCTTTCTCCTCAGAAGGCTCAGGTCTAACTAAAATTGTCACTTTTAAAAGAAAGTTTATGGCTAAAATGTATCTCATCATTACCAGAAGGAATATGATTGTGTCTGGAGCCCATTTCGCCAGGAAGCTGGAAGTCTTCTATCAGATGGTTTAAGTGTGTTTCTTCTACTCTGGTGATTAAACAGTAAACTCTTGGGGAGTGATTTGTTTTTATTTTTACAGTGATCACCTATCAAATTGTTTTACTTTGATATTAGAGCCCCAAACTGGAGTTGAAGAGTCCTAGACAGTTCAAGAGTCTAAGAACTATAGTTCTTGAGTCCAACCTCCTGGAAAAGTGAAGTATAAAACTCTGGCTCCAACTGCTTGTTCCGGTACTTGTTGACAATGTCAGTGATTTTCTGTTTCCGGCGGACATGTGGTGGACTGTAGGAGTCACTCTCCAGCCTCTTTCTTCTACAAATATTAATTACAGTCTGCCTCACCAGAAAACCTTGAAAACAGAAGGGTTTAAAACAATGTGAATAATCAGTCAGCAAGGTGAACTCTCGGTACTGAAGTGAACTATTCTCCACAAACTCAAACTATCAGCCCATTTGCAAAACTACCCCCATCCCCAGAACTCCATGAAAATAAAACTATCAGAAGAAACATACCAGGACAAGGAAAAACAGAATAAAAATCTGGCCTGAGGACTCAGTTCCTGCTCTGGATTACAAACAGCTATCTTCATTTTCTAAAACTGAATTTTGTGAATTATAGTTCTACTCACACTTACTAGATTAAGCACAGTTCAAAGCTTGCTTCCTTTTGAACAAGACCACACCATTTTTCTACATGTGGGCCCTATTTAATAACATATTTCCTTATTTTTATTTCGTTTTGGCTCGAAAAAATATATTTTAAAAAAAGACACGACAACCCTTCAACCATATGGGAAGACCTTACCGAGTGCTCGCCTGCTGACGATCATCCCATCCACAAGAGGGATAACCATGTTAAATTTTCCAGTGGCTCCTTGAATTTTTATCCGGAATAATCCAGTGTTTAAAGGGTGAATGAAGATGACAGGAACTTCTTTCTCAAGAGTGGTAGATCTTAAAAAAGAAAACACGTTTCACCCCAAATAGTAATGTGGAATGTAAGACTACCCAGTGGCTTCTTTTCAGGCAAAAGATTTTGATAAAAGGTCAGTCTGCCGAGGCCTCTTCCTGGAGGCCCCTGATGAACACCTCCTCACCTGACCCTGAATACCCATCACTGGGGCTGGGTGTTGTAAACTGAGAAAAGGCACTGAAAATGTGCTTAGAAAACCACTGGGGACATGGAGTGGAAGAAGAGGCCAGAGAAGTCTATTGGAGGAGCTATGAATTGGGGGACTTTCACTTAGTTCCTCCTCCTAGTAAGGAACAAAAGTGAGCTGAGCCAAGTGCAGAGAACTTCACTACAGTCAACAACAGCATCTCAGAGCAAAAGTGGGACTTATGGGAATCCCTGACCGAATTTTTTTTCAGGGGATAGAGGAGATAAAGAGGGGACTTCTTGGCAGAGGTGAAAAATGGCAACATCTTGGCAGAGCCAAAGCCACCAAAGCCTCCAAACAAGTAACAGCTGCTAAGGAAGCAATCATACCTTTGGGAGACTGAGTGACACATCACGAGTCAGGCACATGCCAGTGCATCTAGAGTTGCCTGTGAGATTCTGTGATGTTACATGTCAGGGTTACTGTTTTGTTTGTTTGCTTCTTTTGCAACCCAATGAGCTTTCCTTCTATATAGATAAAGTGATGTTGGCCAAAGCAACAGTGAGTCAACTTTTCAAGACATTAACTAAAAATCAATCCTATACTAATTCTAGCCTCAAGACAAATCCTAAATTTTGCTAATAATGAGGATATTTTAACTGTTATCTTTCCAGAATGTTTTGACTAATATCTAATATTGCTACCCTACTATCAGTTTTCATGAATACTTTTCATGAATGCCTTCACATCTCTATTTGTCTTTTTGTTGCAGATAAATGTAAAATAGCAATTAATTATGCCTTTTAAAAATCCTGCTTATTCGATCACCATATATACTTATCTACAAAGGTCTTTGGACCCCTTAATCCCCCCCTCAATTGTTTGGTTATTATTGCCTTCATTCCTTTTGTTTCATAAGTCTTTTTTGATCAACATATTCTTAAAGATATGCTGATAAACTTCAAGCAAATAAGAGTGTACCTCAGAGAAGTGCTACTATTTGCAGTAGTTTCCACACCAGTACTGATTTCTGTCATCAGATCTGAGAGGGGAAAGTTTTCTGGAAGAAAATAATACCATTGTAATTAATATCGCCCTTCTATTCCCAAACAAATAAGAAATCTAATTTCCTAATCTCTCTACACAAGTAGGCAACAAAAATTTGGACTACGCTATCCTACAATATAATCTTACAATATAAACCATTCCTCACAAGAGTTCTCCTTCAAGACATATTTTTGCTAACTCCATCTAAAGCAGAGAGTTGTTAAAGAAAGTGATCTGTAGTCTTTGAGGACTTGGAAAGGGTTGTGGAGAAGCTGGAAAGCAACTAGCACACTTTCCCACAAACTTTGAGCCAGATGAGATTCTAAGCTAAATATGCATTTCTAAAATTATTGTTACTTACATAAAAGTCATGAAGAACTTATCCATAGCAAAATTACTAAGGACAAATTAATCTTCACACTAAATCTAGACAATAGGGCTCCAGATAAGAGGGTGAGGGAAGTGCTCCCCGTTCTCCAAGGTCCTGGGATGAATAGGACCAAGCGGCAATAGACCATTAACTATCATACCATTCCAAACAAAACTAAAGATTTCATATCCACTGGTCTCATCAAATCTTCACAACTATGAACTAGGGAACACGAGTGTCTCCATTGAACAGATAAATAATCCAAAACTTAAGGAAACTGAGTGGTGGAGCTGGGATACAGACCCAGGTCTGCTGAATTCCAGTCCCAGCTTCTGGCCACCCTACCACGCCCATGCTGCCATTCCTTTTAGACCTTTAGGAAGTCATTGTCATTCTAATTTTATTTATAGATAATATCCTTATAATATAGTACCTATATCATCATAGCGTTCCACCCAGACTACAGAAACTCTTGTTTCGGGTCCAAGGGGAGGCACGAGGCGGCCCTGAGGCAGTTTCTTCATTCTGGAACTGGGACTGAGCTATATGAGGGGGAGAAAAGCAGGAGAGAGAGAGAGAAAGAGAGAGAAAGAAAGGGAGAGAGAGAGAGAGAGAGAGAGAGAGAGAGAGAGAGAGAGAGAGAGAGAGAGAACTGGCTTAATTAAACTATAATCACACAGTCCTTAACTGCCCAATGACATAAGTATCAGATCATGGGAAATCAGTTCTCTTTATAAGTCTCATTCTAGAGCAGATAAATGAAGGCCTAACATCCTCAAAGGACCCCAATAAATTTAACAAATAAATAAAGAACAAAAAACCCTCATGGGAAAATTTGTAATTGTCATTACTAAAAATAAAAGTTGCAGGCAATGTCTTAATGAGCACTTAAAATGATTTGAGTTCATCTATATGGCCAGAGAGCAATATTCTTTCCTCATCGTGATAACATCAATGATTTGCCTGGAAATCCTTATCTTTTAAATGTCCCACTAGCAAGTTATACCTAGTTCTCAGACCAATTACAATTGAAGCCCCCCAAAATTCCTTTGTCTTGTCAGCAGAAAGAAAAAAAAAAAATGTTGCTTATGTCTTCACTATCATGCACAGTTTCCTTTGGCTCCCCTGCGCTCCCAGTCAGCTGTAAGTTCCTTTGAAAAGCTAACAGAACCATGAAGCTCTGCTTTAGCAAAAGGCACTATGAGTCTCACCTGCTTTCAGGGCATGTACCAGACCTGAGTTTATGCTAAAGCCCTAAACAAAGCCATGTGCACAGAAGGGAAAATCCCATACTGAAGTAGTTTTTTAAGAATAATGATTCTTGCCGAAACCGGTTTGGCTCAGTGGACAGAGCATCAGTCTGTGGACTAGAAAGTCCCGAGTTTGATTCTGGTCAAGGGCATGTACCTTGGTTGTGGGCACATCCCCAGTAGGGGGTGTGCAAGAGGTAGCTGATCGATGATTCTCTCTCATCAATGTTTCTAACTCTCTATCCCTCTCTCTTCCTCTCTGTGAAAAATCAATAAAATATATTTAAAAAAAAAAAAAAAAAAAGAAGAATGATTCTTGCCCTAGCTGGGTGGCTCAGTTGGTTGGAGCGTCATCCCATACACCAAAAGGTTGCATGTTTGATTCCCCAGTTGGGGCATATACAGGATTCAAGTTTCTTTCTTTCTCTCCTCCCCTTCCTCTCTCTAAAAAACAAAAACAAAAAAACAAAACAAAACAAAAACACAATAAATACATGGGTGAGGATAAAATAATAATTAATAAAAATAACGCTTGTATACACAAAAATATACGTCTTTACCAGATGACCAGAGACCATAACAATTCCCCCAAATTCTTATTTCTATCCTGACATTCACAGAAAATGAATGACCAAGAGATTTCCCCCAAATTAATAACAGATATCCAGGCACTCTCAGACACTATTTTCTTAGCATCTTGGCTCCTGGTCAGCTTTGAATCTCCTTCATCTGACTTCCAGCCTTAGACTTGAAAAGCTCCTGTGATTAGGTCAGGCCTGCCTGGAATATCCCGCTTTGCTTACCTCAAAGTAACTTTAACCATAAAAACCCCTTTGCCATAACATGTAATATAATCACAGTCTATCTCATCATATCACAAGTTCCACCCACATGGAAGGGGATGACATTCTACAAGGGCAAGAATCATTGGGGGTCATCTTTGAATTCTGCCAAATACAATGACCCTTTTCCTGCTCAACTATTTTTTCTGCATCTATTGAGTTAATGATTTTTCTTTTTTTAGTTTGTTAATTATTTGAAAATTCAGTTTGTGATAAATTAAAAAAATGTGCTTTAAGAGTTTTCATTCTTTGGTTTTTAAGGAATAACTATGCCGGCATTCAGAAAATGAGTACAAGAAAAGCCAATCACTGACTATGAGATCTGTCTAAAATCCTGCATTACCATCCAATAGACTTGTTCATCTCCCAACTGTATTCTGTGAAATCTTTTTAAATATAGCAACTCCTGATTTTCAAAATCAGTCTACTTCAAAGTGTCCTATACAATTTAACTTTTTTGCCTTAATCAATTTTAAAGGTGAAAACCCCACCCATATATTTATGTTAAAAACTAGAGGCTGGGTGCATAACTTCGTGCACCAGTGGGGTCCCTTGGCCTGGCCTGCTGATCAGGCAAAACTGGCTCTTCAACATCCCTCAAGGGGTCCTGGATTGGGAGAGGACACAGGCCAGGCTGAGGGACCCCACCAGTGCACAATCGGGGTTGGGGAGGGACACGAGAAGTTGGCCAGCTGGGGAGGGACCGAGAGAGGGCTCCAGGGTGTGTCTGGCCCATCTTGCTCAGCCCCAACTGGCCTGACTCCAGCAGCAAGCTAATCTACCGGTTGGAGCACATGCCCCCTGGTGGTCAGTGCACATCATAGGAAGTGGGTAAGTGGCCTTAGCATATCATTAATATATTACGCTTTGATTGATTAAATGGCCGGCCGAAAGGACACTTAGTATATTAGGCTTTTATAATATAAGACAATTTTCACTATGGAAGGAGCCAAATTAAAATCCTTACAACAAAAGAATGGCTTCAGTCAAGTTTACTTCAGTCAAGTTTACTTCTTTTGTCTTTTTTATTATTTGTTTTAAATATATTTTTATTGATTTCAGAGAGGAAGGGAGGAGAGAGAGAAACATTAATGATGAGAGATAATCAATGATTGGGTGCCTTTTGCACGTCATGTCCCCTACTGGGGATCGAGCCTGCAACCTGGGCATGTGCCCTAACTGGGAATTAAACCATGACTTCTTGGTTAATAGGTAGACACTCAACCACTGAGCCACACCCGCTGGGCTTATTTGTTTTAAATCAATCTTCTTATCCTTGTGAATTAGTTCTGTACTCTTGCTATTATTTACTTAGGCACTTTCTAGTAAGGCTTAAGAGGTAACATGAGAACCTAGACAGTTTGGCTCAGTGGATAGAACGTTAGCCTGTGGACTGAAGAGTCCTGGGTTCGATTCCGATCAAGGGCACGTACCTAGGTTGCAGGCACATCCCCAGTGGAGGGTGTGCAAGAGGCAGCTGATCCATGTTTCTAACTCTCTATCCCTCTCTCTTCCTTTCTGTAAAAAATCAATAAAATATATTTAAAAAATAAAAATAAATAAATAAATAAAAGTCAATGGAAAAATAGCCTTGGGTAAGGATTAAAAACAACAAAACAAAAAAACAGGTAACATACAGAGACAACACAGATAAATACATAACATCCATTGATATGGTAAGAAAAAAGTAAAATGTTTTCTCGCTGCCGTGTACCTCACTCAGTGTATTCATTCATATACTGAACTGTTCTCCAAATTGCTACCATTTGTAAATAGCCATAATTGTTTAAGTTGAATGTTGCACGATTAAAGATGTGAACTGTAGAGCCACTGCTGCAGTTTTAGTGGATATTTCTGGCTAAAGAAATGGGTGAGAGAAGCAAGCATGGTACTAGAATGGGTAAAATCAAGGGAAACAAAGGCCGTCTTAGAATGAACTGTTTGTTGCAAGCTGAAAAAAAGAGAACCATGAGAATTTGCTTTAAAAAATGGAGACACTAATGAATCAGTGCAGCTATGATTACCCTCTGGGTTAAAGGCATAAACTTTGCATGATTCTATAATTAACCCCACTATAACTTTTTGGAGATCTAACAACAAAGTGACTTACCCTCTGTGAAGAATTAAGATTGTCTGTGTGATTAGGAAAAAGCTCAAGTGTCAAGGATGGCTGTTTCAGAATTCCTGGCATAAGATCCATATTTGAATCACTGTCTTGGTCCGAGATGTTACTTTCCAATGAATCAGCTACGGTATAAGAGAAAAAAAATTATAATACCTACTACTTATTTGGAGCAAAAGTGTGTAAACTAATTGTGCCAGTAGTCTAACCTAAGTCACTTAAGCAAAGCGTTACTTCTACAGCATGGGCTGGCAAACATTTTCTGTAAAGCAGGGTGGGGAATATTTGGCCTGCAGGCTGCATAAAGCCCTCGAAATCATTTGGTCTGGCCTTGCCAAGGAATTAAGGGTGAGCTAATTGTTTGACCAAATATAGCAGGCCACTTTTTAAGTTGACAATTTTGTATTGGCCGTGAATGTTGTTACAAATATCGAAATGGCCCTTGGAAAAAAAAAAGGTTCCCCACCCTTACAAGAATCAAGTAATAAATATTTTAGGCTTTGTTGGCATATGGGCCTCTATCGTATATTCTTCTTTGTATTTTAATTATAATCCTTTAAAAATGTAAAAACTGCTCTTAGCATTCTGAATTTGGCCTGTATCCTGTAGTTTGCTGGCTCCTGCCCTACATGATAACTGATGTAAGACTACAAAATATTTCACTTTTCAGATGTAGAATGTAAGCCATCTGTTATTCTCGGAATTATGCTTAGCATGGTGCTAAACAGCATTGGGGTATCCAGTGCTACAGAGAGCTTAGTCTCTGTGATTAGGAATGATCTGAATGGAGGCAAACATACAGAACTATAAAAAACAAAAACAAAGGAAGACAACTCTCAAGAAACAGGAGGAGGCTAATTTGGAGCAGGGGCACAATTGGCACAGGGGATATTTCATGGCTGGAGGTGAAGACTCAACTGTGGAAATTGCTATAAGGCCATGGATCTAGCTGTGGGAGAACTGGGTTGATGCTAGCAGGCTGGGCCAGACACATCAGGCAGGGACTTGGCCCAGAGAGGATAGATAGAGTCTGGCTTCTAGAATTAGGTGGTAGATCATAGCCTTGACACGAAGGCAAACAGCTGCTAAGATACTGACTTAGACCATGGAAGGCCACTATTGTCAGAGACACAACTGGCCCCACAGTATGAGACGGGGAGAGGCCTAGAGTGGGAAATGAAGGGTCCGAGTAAAAGGTTAGGAGGTTACCAAGGTAGGACCCAAAAGGTCATTAGCCTGATGGTGAGACAGTAACAATATGATGTGTGGCACCCCGTTCTCTGGGGTCCAATATAAAGGCTCTCACAGGAAATAGGGAATAGGTGGGGGCTCATGCATAATTAGTGAAATGAATAAACTGAAAAACAAGGCTACTATGTACTGATTATAATGAAAGAAAAACAAAATAATGGTTGAAGTGGGCCTCCTTCATTATTTAAATAATATAATTAAAAGGTCAATATACTTGTCTTTAACTACTTTCCTTTAGAAATTTAAGTGGCGCTAACATCCTGAATCTTTGCATAATCTAAAAGCTATCATGCTTTAGAAGCAGAATGCCTTAGATGACTTCAGAATTTCTCCTAATGCAATAATACTGCACAAACCAGTGTCTACAAAAATAGATCTTTACTAGTATCGCAGGAGCTCACTCATCTAGGGGAAATGATGAATATAAACTGATGAACAAGAACAGACCCGGAGACAGCGAAGCATCGGTCAGACTGTCGGACCTCAGAGGAAATGTAGGGGAGAGTGGGAATAAGGGAGAGAGATCAACCAAGAGACTTGTGTGCATGCATATGAGCCTAACCATTGGTCACGGACAACAGGGGGATGGGATGGGAGCATGCATGGGGAGGGGTTTGGGATGGGAATGGAGGGATGAGGAAAATATGTGATACCTTAATCAATAAAGAAAATTTAAAAAATAGATCTTAAAGCAGCACCATACAAAAAATTCTCTTACTTAATGACTCCACAGGAGAAGGAACCACAAAAGATATTTCTGTAAGGGCATCAGCATAATACAGCACCTTCTTCTGGCCATTGAAAATACTAGCCCCAATATCTTCAGAGGAAATCACTTCATCTAGGAATGAGAACATTATGTTACTGCTCCAAAAAGTGGAAAAAACAAGAATCATCTTGCTTTAGGAAATTTTAACTGGTTAAGAAAGTGATAATAAATAGAAGGTACATTTCCAACAAGAACCATTAGTATGTAAAAAGAATAAATTCTACATGTTCTTTAAATGTCTTCACACTAACTTTAAATCATAAAAATTTAATTTCATAGGTTCTGGTCAGTTTCTATACCAGTCAGTGTCTCTGGGCCTATCAACGGGGCCTAATCAGAAAGGCGGGGCTGATCAGTGGAGGCCTGGAGAGAAATGGAGGCACGGCTGTTGGCCAGGCTAGGAGAGAAAGAGAGGCAAGTTCTGATCAACAGCTACCATAGAGGCTACGGATCAGATCCTGCCTCTCTCTCTGTAGGCCTCTCTCTGGGCCTGATCTGCAGCCCCCTAGGCAGTCAGTGCTGGTTTGGGGCAGGGTTCCGGTCTGGTCAAGCTCTTATTATATAGATGTACAGGAAGTTTTAGTAATAGTATCTGCTCTAAGTCAGCAAGATTGAGTTAATAAAAGTAGCATTCCTGAGAGTTAGTATAGTTCTCAATTAAAATGAACACAATTAAAATGTCCTAGCATCCTATATAATAAAAGGGTAATATGCAAATAGACCATATGGCAGAACCAACCAATCGAGGCGTAATATGCTAATGATATGCTAAGGCTGCTCAACCACTTGCTATGATGTGCACTTACCACCAGGAGGCAAACAGTCAATTGGTCAACCAGTCACTATGATAGGCACTAACTACTAGGGGGCAGATACTCCAACTAGTAGGTTAGCTTGTTGCTGGGGTCTGGCTGATTGAAACAGAGCAAGATGGGCTGGACACACCTTGGAGCCCTCCTGCGATCCCTCCCTGGCCCGATCATGCACCGCTGAGGCCCCTCAGCCTGGCCCGCGCCTTCTTGCAATCCAGGACCCTTTGGGGGATGTCGGAGAGCCAGTTTCAGCCCAATCTGGCAAGCCACTCCCCTTGCGGCAGCACAAGCCTCTCCCTATCTATTGGGAATGACTGGGCACAAGCCTGCGGCAGGCTCAGTGGGGCCAGGATGAGTGGGAGCAGAAGGCAGGAGCTGCAGGTGGTGTTGGACTGTGGGTTTCAGCCCAATCCCTGCAGGCCACCCAGAGGGACCCCACCTGTGAATGAATTTGTGCCCTGGGCCTCTAGTTAGTACATAAAAAAACCAACAACCTGAAAAAAGTTGGGAAGAAATAAATAAGCAATTCTCAGGGGGGATAAAAACAAAAACAAAAAAAACTCGCTAAAAGATACTAAAACTCAATCATACTTTAAAATAGAAAAGTTCTCACCTAAAAGATTGAAAGATATCTAATGTTGGTGAGGATGTGACAAACAGAAAATTTAGACCTGAGGTTAGCAGACTATTTCTGTAAAGGATCAGAGAGTAACTGTGGACCATGACTACTCAAGTCTGCTATTGTATCAAAGACAATACATAAACAAGTGTTTTGTAGGTTATTTAAAGTTCTAATAAAACTTTCTTTACAAAAACAGACCTGGGCTATAGTTTGCTGACTCCTGGTTTAGATGCTGGGAAAGTATTTTTTACCTACTGCAGTGGACACTATGGTTACTGCTTCAATACCCACCCCACCCTCCCCCACTCTGTGTAGCAGATGTAAACTGTGGTATGTAGCAGATGTGATTATCTCTTCACTATCAGTTCTACATTGTCTATAGCTCTCTTAGGAGGCTCATTCCATCTCTCCTGCCATAGCAATAGATTGGGGTGGTCCAATCCCTGAGTATCTCAGGATTTGGGAATAGAGAAATTCTAAGACCCAACTAATCTCTCCTATTCAGGCTATGTGGTATTTGAATGTAGAGTCTGGAATTGCCTTTTTGCTCTATGAGAGAAACCAGGCTGGGAACAAAACCAGCACTTGGAGGGCTGAGCTAAAAGAATATTGAAGAGAAGTAGAATAAGAGTGCTGATCAAGTGACAAAAAAATTGTATGGTAACCTCTGCAGCTTTCAGTTACATGAGGCAATAGATGACCATTAAAATCTAGGCCAGTATGGGTCAGGTTTTCTGTTACTTGCAACCATATTTTTCAAGTTGAAAAATATGCACATCCTTTATCAATTCTACTTATGGGAATTTAGTCTATAAATATACTCAAGTTCATAAGAATATGTGGGAATTAAAATTACAGAATATCCTCAAATAATTTGATTAAAATTTGGTTGAAATTAGAAGAAAATTGCGGTTCACAAGTCACAGTGGAATTCAATGGAAATCTTGAGAAACTATAATCATGTTATAGAAGAACTCTGATTATAATAGATTATTCAAAGCATTGGACACAAGCATTACCCACTGCAAAGAGATAACATTAACTTTCCAGTGACTGCAGAAACTCTTAGAACAAAGAACATTAGCCAGGTGGGGCAAAGGTCTTAAGTGTAAATTTAAACTTGCTCTGGTGCTTGTTATCCTCATTACAGTTCTTCAGGAGGATTTGTAGAGATGGGCCTGTGACTCTCTCAGAGATAGTCAGCTGTTTACTACAAGATTTTTTGTTTTTTAATTTCTCTATTGCTGAAAATATTCAGATGTCCCCTTCCCTTCCTTAAACTACAAAGGTTTTTATATATTGTCCCAAGAATGTAACCTTTAATGATAACCACAAAGTCTCTAAATCACCACTGTTAATAGAAAACTGTATTTATTAGACAAAATACACTTGATAGGAAACTGCATTATTTGCTATAATCTAAATTTATTATAATACTATTACAAAAAATGAAATTAGTTTATTCACACTATTAAAAATTTATGTTTGTAATCATTATATCAATTAACTCTATATTTATATATAACATTTATTTATGCACAAAAAATGTCTGATAAAATATACAAACTATTATGAAGTGACCTCCTGTGAAGACGAGGATTAGGGGAAAGAGATTTTCCTTTATATATCTCTGCTTATTAGTTTTTAAAATAAGAATACAAACTCATAGGAAAGGCGGGGCAGGGAGGAAGGGACATCTGCAATGCTTTCAGAAATAAAGATAATTTCTTTTTAAAAAGAAATACAACCCTTAAAAAAAGAAAGAGTAACAAAACAAGAAAAACAAAGAGCTTTATGAGTTTTACCTTGTTCTGGTCTTTCGCCATCATCACAACTGTTTATAGACCAACTAGTGGAAACATGCCCAGTCCAACCAGGATGTCTGCCCACATCTACTGACCAGCCAAGGGAGAGCAAAAATTCTAGGAAATGTGGCTGAACATTTCGGGAAGACTCCACATTCTTTAAAATCTGAAATACATATCATTCATCAGCTATGATAAAGGAAACAAGAGCATATCAAAATAAATCTTCATAAAAATCAGTTAGTTTGGAAGTACTTGACAAAGTCTAAGCTCAAAATAAACTTGGCAATATACAGCTGTGGTTTAAAAAAATTGCATGCTTTTGCCCTAACCTGTTTGGTTCAGTGGATAGAGCATTGGCCTGTGGACTCAAAGGGTCCCAGGTTTGATTCCGGTCAAGGGCATGTACCTTGGTTGCGGGCACATACCCAGTAGGGAGTGTGCAGGAGGCAGCTGATCGATGTTTCTCTCTCATCGATGTTTCTAGCTCTCTAACCCTCTCCCTTCCTCTCTGTAAAAAAAAAAAAAAAAGAAAAAAAAAAAGAAAAATCAATAAAATATATATTTCTTAAAAATGCATGCTTTTGAGTTAGATTTGAGTTCAAATCCTTGTTGGGCCTTGGGCAAATTTCTTAACCCCGCTGTGTCAGTAAAATATCTGTTGTGTTGTATTACTCTTAAGCAATCAGGCTTAGCTTTAGCTTTTTGTGGCAAACCTTCTGTATTTTAGTTTCTTTTGTCTTATGACTCTGAATTTCTTAAGAGGAAGAAAGACATGCTATATAATATAGCTTGGCTCTAAATTAATTGAGAGTCAAAGCTTGGGACTCCAAGCACCATAGTTTTCATTAATTCAGTCTTTGAATTGGTTCACAAGTCTTTAAGCATCAAATATAACTCACCTCCTACTATGGATAAGCACAAGTCATGTACATTTTTTTATATTTATAACCATACAAATTATCCCTCAAATTCAGGAATCTTACCTCCTGGTTTGTTTTCTGACCTGGTTTCATATAGAAAATAAAAACTGTGTCGAAAGGACGACATGGCAAGAGATCCAGATACCCAATGTCATCAAAAAATCCAGGTATTGTGGAGTCGAGTGCAATAAGGTGAGGAGGTAGACGACTATTTGCAGGTTCCTACCACCAAAGGAAGAAAGAAGAAATTATTTCCTCTTTTCACTACTCTAATTATAAAAGCAATACTTGTTCATAGTTCAATAAATATTAAATATAAACTTACAAAGTGGCAAGAATAAGCACCCCATAATCGTAAAGAAACAATATAACATTTTTGTGTACTTCCTTCTAGTTCCTGCATTTGTGTTTTTTTGTGTTTTTTTGTTCAAGATAATTGAGATCATATGCATTTAATTTTGGATCTTATTTTCTCTATAACATATCATGTTTTCTAGAAAACTTTTCAATACACTCTTTTTTAATCTTTAACTAGAGGCCCAATGCACGCAGACTCATGCAAGAATGGGCCTTCCTTCCCCTGGCTGCCACCTTTCTGCCTTCCCACACTGCCCAGAGGCCTGGAGCAGCTGGGGTGGTGTGGAATGTAATGGCAATGACGCAAGCATCACACCCCCTGCCGCTCAGCACCTGTGTATGCAAATTAACCCACCATCTTTGTTGGGTTGATTTGCATACTCACTCCTGACTGGGCTGATGGGTGTTGTGAAGGTAAGTCAATTTGCATTTTTCTTTTATTGGTGTAGATTGCTAGTGGAAATGCAAAATGGTAGTCACTTTGGAAGACAGTTGGCAGTTTCTTGCAAGGCTAAACATAGTCATACTATACAACTTAGCAATTGCACACCTTGGTATTTTTCCAACTGAATTAAAAACTTATAACTAACAAAAACTTAAACACAAATGTCTATTACATAACGTTTCTAGCAAGAGCTTGGGCAGCACCCTATAACCAAAGACATTAATATTTCTGCAGTTAAGACAGAAGAGTATTCACACTTGGTGAAATAAGTAAAGACTACAAATAGCCTCATGTCAATACAGGCCAGATTTTACCACTAAATGAATTTGCTACAAATGTACAAAAAAGTTCTGGTCCTGAGATTTTACTTTGAAATCATGAATAAGGAATTGTGGAGCTGTAGCATACTGTAATACAGCTTGTAGGGCAAAGTCTCCAAATTCTTTTCCTTTTAAGTAAGCTATTTCATTAGTTTGTTCTCCTGGATAATCTTCTAATCCAGGAGCATCATATGTACATCTTATATCTCTTAACTTTTAAAAGTTTTTCCTCTAGGTCCTGTGCAGTTTTTTAGGGTAACCTTTGTCAATATCAATAGCTATAAATTAGGTACTTTTACACTGTGTTTTTAAAAAATATATTTTACTTATTTTTTTACAGAAAGGGAGAGAGAGAATAGAATTAGAAACATCGATGAGAGAGAAACATCAATCAGCTGCCTCCTGCCCTTGACCGGAATGGAACCTGGGATCTTTAGTCCACAGGCTGACACTCTATCCACTGAATCAAACTGGTTAGAGTTACACTGTATTTTTAACAAGACATTATAGCTATAATTAAATTTTGTACTTTTTTGTGTGGTGCTCTTAATTCTCTCATTTATTTAACCATTTTATTGATTTTCTTATGATTGTCTAATTAAATGCCATGTTACCTATGACCTGTCTTTCAATAGTTTTTACCGCTTAGTTTAATATTTCATCGATTTTCCTGGTTTTGATGTAGTTATAGCTATGTAAGAGGATACTATTGGGAGAACTTTCCTATACATTTTTTGTTTTTACAACTTTCTATTAATCTAAAAGTATTTTCTTTATTCATTTGTTTTGACTTTAAAGAGAGGAAGAGGGAGAGACATAGATTTGTTGTTTCACTTATTTCTGCATTAACTGGTTGATTCTTGTATGTGCCCTGACGGGGGATCAAACCTGCAACCTTGTATTGAGACGATGCTCTAACCAACTGAGCTACCTGGCCAGGGCAATTTACAATTACTTTAAATTTAAAAAATTTCATTGACTGCCTTAACCAGTTTGGCTCAGTGGATAAGAGCATCGGCCTGCGAACTCAAGGGCCTCAGGTTCGATTCCGGTCAAGGGCATGTATCTTAGTTGTGGGCACATACCCAGTGGGGAGTGTGCAGAAGGCAGCTGATCTATGTTTCTCTCTCATCGATGTTTCTAACTCTCTATTCCTCTCCCTTCCTCTCTATAAAAAAATCAATAAAATATATATATTTTTAAAATTTAATTTATAGACTGAATATAAAGTAATATATTTACCTTATAGGCTGACTAAATAATATAGCAATCAAGGTTGATACTCTTTGCTTCTGATTTTAACAAGGGGTACTTCCAGTTTCTCACAAGATCTTCATTACTATAATAGTTCTGTTTAATTTTAATTTTTTGTTTGTCAGAATACTATTATACTAAAAACTGACTTGTTTTAATGACTAATCTACTAATATAATCAAATTATTCTCTTAATAACTTTACTAGTATTTACCAATAACTAACTCTACTTGAGTTCCTAGAATAAAGCTTACTTGGTTGTGGAAAGTAATCTGCTTGACATGCTATTAAATTCAGTTTTACTAGCATTCTCCTTCATATACATATTTTGTGGATAGGTTCATAAGTAAGACTGGTTTATAGCTTTTTTTGTACCTGTGCTGTCAGGTTTAAGTGATTAGAAATATGCTGAGGTTGATTAAAAAACAAACAAACAGGAAACTTTCTGACTTTTTCCTATGTTCTAAAACCAATAAAAAAGCATCTACATTATTTTTTTGAAAGCTTAAAAGTTTTACTAAAATAGATACATGAGTGGAAAATCACAATCTCAGGGGCAGTGCTATCAGGACTCCTCTTGTCTCCCTTCAGTCCACAGGATGCAACAATTTTCTCCTAGAACTGCTTTGACTCTGTTCAGTTTTCTTCATTAGGAATATCACTAATCATTTGTAGGTTGTATCTTTGTTCCTTGCCTTCCATATTTGCCACTGTGTTTCTCATTATTTCCTCTCTTTTTCTTTCTTCTGCATGTTCAAATTTTTATGCTCATACTCCCCCCATCACCAATTCACTTTTCTACAACAACAAAATATTTTCTATCTACATGCTGAAATCCAAAATCAGACACAAAGTTCTTTCTGCTTTCCTAAAAATGTTAAATGGCCTTTAACCAAGTAGCTGCTAGGGAGTAAGGGCAAGGGACAAGTTGTGCAATAAGCAACTTCTTGCTTGACAATATTCAGTTATGATTTTCAAAACAAACTGGTCTTGGTATAGCAAACCCCAAATCCTCCACAGGCAGGAGGATTTCACATTTTAAAAATATTCTATCTCCACATCTATAAAATAGGACAGCATCATTTCCCTTGTAAAATTGTTTTAAGGATACTTAGAATTAAGAGTAATGGCAATATTTACCTTATAGGTTGACTTACATTATGCAAAGTTCTTACAACATGAAGCATCTTAACATGACCACAGTGAGATGGATATTTTTGTCATCCCCATTTTGTAAAAGAGGAGCTAAGACTCAGAGAAGTCAGATAATTTGTCCAAGACCACATAGTTGGAAAGTAGCACTGCCAGGACATAAACCTATAGTCTGATCTTAGAAAATGCATAACTAAGCAGTGCTTGGCTCACAAATACTTTTTTTTTAAAAGTGCAGGATCAAATGCAGCCCATCCTTCCAGTAATAAATTTTACTAGGAAAACATTTTAAAGATTCTTTGCTAATTATCTGTAGGTGTCATTTATATTATATGTATGATATGGGCCCTACATTATCCTGAAAAATTCAGAGCCGAATATATTAAATTCTTTCTATTTCTCATAAAAATGTTTTAGCTATCAATAGCTAAATGCTAGTTTATGAATATATTTACTCAGAAAAGTTTAGGAAAATTACCTTCAATGCTTCTAAGGACAAAAATCCAAAGTGTGAAAGGAAAAGGCGTGCTGTTTGGAATTCCTGGGCAGGAGGCGGGGGCTTACAATCTGTAACTGGATCAGGAAAACTTCTCTTCTTCAATTCTTCCTCGCTTTGTTGTTCAAGGTGTATTTCATAAGCAATCTGCTGGGCCATGCCATTCCTTAATTTTTCATGTCTCTCTTCTAACTGAAATAAGTCAAATATTTAATAGTTTTGAACTTTTATAAAAGGAACAGGATCATTCTTAATTCTAAAATGAAAACAAAGCTAAAAACAACACAGTAAATTTTTAGGAATCAACATTGAGTTTCAATTCAGTACAGTGTATGCAACCAAGCAAACATGTTTTCAGGTTAAAACAAATACCAAGAAACTATCCTATGGTCTCAAGAATTACTCCTCCATCTTCACCCTATAAATGAAAGCATTGCCTCTGCTTCCCTTCAAGAAAAGGGGCAGAGCTGTCGCTCTCATCCCTCTTCCAGACCACTGTCTATATTCATTTTGCAGTGATCCCTCCCCCAATGTGTTTTAAAGTCTTTATCCATATGGATTACTCCACTAACTACTCTAAACTTCCCCTGACCCTTCTGATTCCCTTCCAATCAATTCTAGTTTAAAATTCACCTTCTTCGGTGAGCAATGAACTTTTAACAACCCAGATTATATAGGGTGGGGAAAAAATAGGTTTACAGTTGTTCATATGGAGAATAATACAATAATTAATAAGTGATAATACAAGAGTAAACTGTTTTACATACAACAAAAACCTACTTTTGCCCTACTCTGCATTTCTACAATCTGCTCAACCCTTATAACTTTTGGCTATCTATAAAGCATACTTTTGTATCTCAAGTGTGCTGAACTTTCAAGAGTTTTAATTCTGAAATTCACTTCTCCAATCATAAGCCCCCTTTCCTGCTACCACACCTTCACTTTCTATCACTAGGAGCTATCCAAACCATCCCCATATTTTCCCAGGCCATTAGCATCCTCTGGCTTCATCTACTTCCCAAACAATTCTAACCCCCCGAATATAATACATTAACATCCTTTCTTAAGCATAGAAATGGCTGTTCCTTATTTTTCCATATTCTCATTCTCTATTAATCTCCACACCAAATTTTTTGCTTATGCTTCCAGATCCTAAGAACTTTTGAAGTTATTTACAATACACTAAGTAACTTCACTACAAACAATGCTACTTAACTTTACCTGGGCTGCCTGGCAATTTTAAGAGTTTTCTTTGATTCCCTATTTCACTGCTAAGAACTAAGATTAAAGTTCACATAAACTCCTTAAATTTTCCTCCTTCCCAACTCTAAATGTCTCTGAACCTTTACCTACTCTCTCCTTTTCTCCTCTCTTACCTGAAATATCCCCTGTCTGGATGCAATCATATAGACTCTTTTGACCCTCCTACCTCTTGGGCCTAACTCTATTAATAATTTCCCAGGCCCATCTTACAGTGTTAGCAGACACAGACTTCCTCCACTGGTTCCTTCTTGTTGACAACTAAGCATGTTCATATTCTTCTTATCCTTGAATTTTTTTGAAAACGAAAAGAAGCACTAGCGGGTTTGGCTCAGTGAATAGAGCGTAGGCCTTGCAGATTGAAGGGTCCCGGGTTCAATTCCAATCAAGGGCATGTGCCTGGGTTGCAGACTTGATCCCCAGTGGGGGGAGAGCAGGAGGAAGCCAATCAATGACCCTCTCATCATTGATGTTTCTCACTCTCTCTCCCTTCCTCTCTGAAATCAATAAAAATATTTTTGAAAAAAAGAAAAAGAAAAAAATCTAGCCTTCTTTTCCATACTAGGTTTTATCCACTCTGTATCCCTACCTTTACTGCTAACTGTATGAATTATATTCACTGTCTCTCATTAAACTTTCACTCCACAGCTCCTTGTACTCTCTTGCCAACTTTAATACTCTTTTGAACCTATTCTCAAAGGGCAGCTACAATTTCATGCCAAAATCCTGGGGCTTCTTCTTAATGCCCCTTCTCCCTTATCTTCCTAAGAACTTGATAAGGTAGGCAGCATCCATTTCTGCCCTTCTCATCTCTCATGCCCTGACACACCTCTATCCCCGACTTCTTAAAATTCTTCTCTTTTGAACTAAAATATCAATTACTTAATACAATTACTTATCTGAATTAATCTAAAGTCAAATACATTTTTCCTGTCTTCCCAAACCTGTCTTCTTCCTAATGCGCAGATTTCTATAAATGGTACCAATATCTTCAATTATAATGCAACTAAAACTCAAGCTCAAAAATCTAAAGTTCTTTGGCTCTTTTCCTTCCCTCAAGACAGCTTGGATCTACCTCTAAATATATTACAATATTTTAACTTCTATTACCAATGAGATAGATAGTCCTTCCTTTCTCCTGCCTGGATTGTCATGTTTCTGAATTGGTCTCCTTTCTCCAAATGTCTTCCACTAGAGTCTGATCATGTCATCACATGATTGAAACCTCCATGAACCAGTCTATGCAGCCCAGTGACCTCTCTCTAAGAGAAGCCAGTCTGTTCAGTCTGCCACAATCTATACTTGTCTTACTATATAACCTCCTGGATGGCAGAGATCCAAATCATCTTATGAATCGCCTCTAGTAACACTAAAAAAAGGCAGCGTCTTAAGCCTGGAGGTTGTTTAAGAATGTTTATAGTCATTCTCTTAACAATAGCTGACAATAACTTATCTTACTTCTTCAGTGACAATTTCATGCAAATCTGGAATGCTCAGATCTGCTTTCACAAAAGGAATCTTATCCACTTCTTCAGGAAATGGCCGATGTTTCACAGTATATTTAAATCCAACATTATTTTTAGGAACTGGACGAGGTTCAGGCACAAAAAGCTATTAAAAGAAAACAAATAACATTATGTTTATTATGTTTGGTGCCATCTATAATGATTTCCCTGATCTCTTAGATGCCTATGTTTCTCTAGGATTACATAATATAAGAACTCAGTAAGAATCTGCAATTACCTTTGATAAATAGCCTGTGTATTGGTGCACTCTGTTATATCTGTTAAGATTGTTCATCAAATTATTATGGATTTTGTGACTGATAAGTGGGTTCTGGACCTCTACTGCCCAGGCCTGAATCTCCTGTGTTCATTTGGAAAACCAATGGGTGAGGCATTTCAGAGCTTAAGGCTCAAGTTTTCTTCTTCCCCAAGACTTCTTAAATCATTCCATAGAATAAAGTACCAGTTTAGGTCCACTGGACAGCTCTACTTAGGGAGTGCAATTAGAATCTTAGTATGGCTTAACTGAAAGAGCATGGGCACCAAATTTAGGTCTTCATGGCTTTAAATCCCTACTGTTCAAATATACAAGCTGTGAGACTTCTGCTTTTATATCTAAAAAAGATGTAAGGACTAAATAAAAATGTATATGGCACCTATTAAACCATCAACAAATTTTAGTCCCTTTCTTAATCTCATTCCTTCTCAGTCTTCAATGCTTAAGCACTACTGACAGAATGTGAGCCTCATGATGCTGCATGTGCTCCTCCCAGAGAGATAAGCACATCTCAGCCAACAAAGACATATAAGATATTAAATGGTTTTAAGATACATATTCTAATTGCCCTTAAATGCTGGTGAAATTTTATTAAGTCATGTCTTAAAAAAGAATTTTTAGTAACTAAGTAAAAAATTATTATGTGCGGTATAAAAAATGACTCAAATTCTATTTAAGTATTATTGTGTACAGAAAGGAAAAAAAGACTGGAAGGAAATCCACTCAAATATTAACAGTGGCTATATACTTCAAAGAGGACACAAGTGATTTAAAATTTCTTTAATATCTGAACTTTCCAATTTTCTTCCATGAGCAAATTTTATTCACAAAATTACAAATGTTATAAAGAAAATAAACTACACCCTAGCTGGTTTGGTCAGTGGATAGAGTGGACTGAAGGGTCCCAGGTTCGATTCTGGTCAAGGGTAGATGCCTGGGTTGTGGGCTCAATACCCAGTAGAGGGTGTGCAGGAGGCAGCCGATCAATGATTCTCTTTCATCATTGATGTTTCTCTCTCTCCCATTCTGAAACCAATAAAAATATATTTCTTAAAAAAAGAAAAGAAACTGTGCCTCCTGAAAATAAGATTCTATTCAATTATATAGCATATTAAAAAAAACTATAGAGCACATTACTAATTATATAGGAATAAATCACTTGAAACAAGTCCTGTTACCAGGGAGATCAAAGGTCTAACCAAACGTCTCATATATGGCATGCACCTGAGTTTTATTATATTTATTTAACATTGCCTGGGGTGGGGGGGAGAGAGGGGGAAGACAATTGTTCAGAACAGTAGTTCTTAATTATAAGTGGATACCAGAATCACCTGGAAAGCTTTTCAAAAATACATCTGCCTTGAAGATGTCTTTAAAGAGTAATTAGTGAATCTAAAAGTCTAGGCTTCTAATATCATTCAGATGTAATGCCCCTGACGAAGACCCTGGTTAGAGTAAAAAATATTTCTTTTTTTCTGTGGCTTTTGTGGGAACTTTTAAACCTTTAAATCATAGTGTGCATACATGCACACATACATATCCACACACTCACTCTTAGTCACTTCCCTGTAACTTCTAATGGATACCTTCTGATTTGCTTTTGCTCCTCTGGGTAAAAGGCAAAGCTGTTGTGCCCACGCAAGTCTTCCAGACATTCCCCGAACCAGCACAGTGACGGAGGGGAAAAAATCATCTAGAATAAAATGATGTGAAAGGTTTTATTTCAGATAATCATTTAAAATACACCTGTTATCAACTGCAGAACTTCTAATAATGCCCAACATAGTGTTTCCCAAACTTTCATCCTTTGTGTGCCACCTCTGTGGTTTCTCATATCCAAGTAGTCTTATTTTATATGAACCACTTTCTTTCCTTTTTTTTTTTTTTTAAAGCTTAGATTTATTTTAAAAGGAAATTGTATACGTCCACTTTAAATAGAAAACCGTAGTTTTGGTGTGCTAATTAAAATACTAACTTCATCTCATGTACCTCCAATGGTATGCATACACATTTTTGGGAAACACTGTCCTGGCCAATGTTGGGAATAACCCAAATGCAGGAAGAGAGACTAGACTGGTTGTTGCAGTGCTGCTACATTCACCCATGCTTTTGTGTACAACTGTCCGCTGAAGGCAGGCACTATTCCATCCCACCGCAAGTTCAGGGGCAGGAAAAGGTAGGTAAAGAACTCAGATCCTTCTTTTTTCCTGTGTAACCCAGATCCTTCTTCTTTTTTCCTTTCACACTTCTGGAATGGATAATTATTAAATCTATTCCAAATTAAAATCTCTGTGTCTTACCACAACACGATCGAAACCTATGATGATATTCATTTACCCCTGAACTTCAGGGAAATGTGTAATTTTTCATTTTTATGAATTTATGAGATCCTACTTATATATTCTCTCAAGAATTTTCATGGGACTCTAAGACCTGTTGGCCTTTGCGAAGGTAAGAAGGCAAATCTTTAAGTAAGAAAACCCTATCACTGAGGCAATGATAACAAAGGGATAGTGGGAGGTTCAGAAAATTTGGATTCTAGTTCTAGTCATACTTCTCAAGTGGACAAGCCTGTTTCCTTGTCAAACCTGTATATAAGGGAACTGTACACTAGGTGATTCCCTGGGGCCCTGTATGCCCTCAGATTCTGTACCTTCACATTCCTTTACCTTTCCAGCAATAAGAGTCTCTCTGAGAACATGCTTCCTTTATATACTGGCTTTACATACATCAGGAAAAAAATGTCTTTTCAGTAGTCTTGCTTACAGTGGTAATCACATACTTTGAGATGGTTTATATTTAGGGGAGGAAAACAGGAAACAGTGAATACAGTGTCCACAGAAAAATCACTAAAGGGTTTCCGGGAGGGCACTGGCATGGTCAGATCTGTATCTGAAGATGAATACAATGGTAGCAGCAAGAAGGATGGAGATAAGGGTAATAAATTTTGCAATTGGAAGGAGAGTGTATCAGACCAGATAGGAAACCACAGCAATAATCTAGGTAAGAAATAATAAGGCCCTGCAATTTGAATATACAGGCAAGCAGTTTAATATGGAATAGATGGGGCCTTTAATAATTGCCCAACTCCAGAAGAGAAAAGAGCCGCTGGGGAAACTTAGAAACCAATTATATAAGGGAATAACAGAAAAAAACAGGCAAGATAAAGATGACTTTTCAAATTTCCACCTCTTAAGGTGATACCAGTGACTGAAATAGAACACTGTGGAGTGGGGCAGGATCTAAAGTTTAAGAAGAAAGGAAAAGTAATAATGATTTTTAAACACAGTAAAAAAACAATAACAGAAATGGCCCACTAAAATAAACATTTTATTAAACTATAGAGCTCTTCTCTGATTTTTCAGATACATATTAAGGGCCTCTAAAATATTCTATATAATATGTATATTCCATTTTCTGACCTTCCATTTTTCACTCCCTGTTATCCCACAGCTAGACATCTTCTTGACAAATGCACAATTGCTCAAAATTTGCAGTCTTTCCTTCCCTGAAGGAAATAGCTTGCTCATACTGGTGAACATGATGACACAGCAGTGGAGAAAGCCCAAAGTGCTGAAACTTACTCTGTTCATTTCCAAGAGGCTGCTCCAGCATTGCCAGGATGACACTGTTATCCAAGACAAAGTACCGGAAGCTATGCTTGTTTATGGTTGGCAGCCTGGAGTATTTAATCAAAGTGGTCTCATTCACCAGACTACAAGGAGAGGCAGGACCACTGGGTGAAGGAAATGCGCCAAGCAACTGCATAATACTATGGAGAATACAAAAGATAACAGTTAATTCCAAAAGCAAAATCTTAAGTTTACCTCATGTATCAATGTGTCCTTCTGCACTTGTGATTTTAATTGACCCAGCCATGCTTCCACTTCACAGGTCAGATTTACTGCTTGTGGTGGATGCCTTCATGTGCTGTCCAGACTGCCACCTCCACTGAAAGATTCACTCCCATAGTTGCAGGAAGATGGTGGTCACAACTTTCAGCTTATCCCTTCCCAAGAGGTGCCCTTGGCCAACAAGAACCACCTCACCTAAGATCACAGCTACTTCCTGGGACAGTCCATATCCAATGAATGGCTGATGCAGGGGTACAAAGTGTCAGTCCCCTTGCCCCAACTTCAGAGAACTCTGAAGAGCCAACTCAGTTCCAGTGAATATTACTTCCTTTACTCCCTCATAGGGGGTGATCCTGAGAGCACTTTCCAATAAACTTTTTTGCAAGTAAATTTCTCTCTCTGAGTTTGCTACCCGGGGAACCTAATCACAACCATACTTCCAAAGCAGCTAAAGATAAAGACACATTAAAAATTTTGTGTGTTCCAGGTTTCAAAATTATGCTAGTGAAAGCATTCTAGAGCTAGAAAAGGATAAACCAAATCCCCTAAACTTTGCAGATGAGGAAACTCTGGCTTAGAAGAGATAAGCAATATTAAAAGAGCAGAGTAGATATTATCCTTTTTCCAGATAAGAAACTTGATGCATTAATAGTTACAATTTGCAAAACTGCTATAATTACCAAATGAGAATATATAAAAGAACTGATTTGGACATTGGACTTTAACTGATCAGGCCTTAACATTCAGAAATGTTTATATTCATAGAGATTTTTGCATTCATTCAACAAATAGCATACATACCACTCACTTGTGCCAGGCACTGATCTAAACACTTCACACATTTTATTTAGTTACCATAGCAACCCTATGAGATAGATAGCACTATTATTCCCATTTTATAATGAAGAAATTGAAGCACAGAGAGAATTTATCTTCTAATGAAAATGTACGATTTTATTTTGTGGTCCTAGTATTACCTGACTCTTCATATGCAACTCATTTAGAAAGGTAATATTCTCCCAACACCACTTTTATCATCTCAATCCTCAGCTTGAGTGGCATCTCCCTTTTTCTTTAATTCTAATGATTGAACTCAAACATTTCTGATAATGAAAGGCAACATTGCTCATATATTTTTTCCTTCTATTTTTCTCTCTTCCTTAGAGGAGGACTAAGAATTTCAAGGACCAGGAAAATTTCATGATGGATCAAGCCTAAGGATTTTGGATTATAGATATCATACCAGTAATGGGAACATGTGGCTTTGGTTTTCTAAAACGGAACAAAAATGGCTGTCACAAAGCATATAAATTGTGTGAGCTTGCTTGTGTTCTATGCAAGGTTTTAAGACATTATCAAATAGGTTGCTCACCAGGGAATAGGTTACTAAGATTAAATCTCACCAGCCTAACCACATTTTCTCTTCTTGATGGTGACTAAACTGGAAAGGCAGAGACGTATCTTGAAATCAAGACATGCGAGTATTTGAGTGTACCATGATAAACCTACAGATAAGATTTTAAAATACCTGTGAACCTGAAGGAAAATTTCCTATGATGTGCTTTTTGAGTTTACCTTCCTTCAATATTTTTATCAGTCTTTGATTAGGACACACAAGGTAGGCTCATTAAATCTGTAGTTGACCAAAAGTTGAGCTGCAGAGTTAATATATCAAAGCTGAAATCCAAAAGAATCTTAAAGGACTAAAATAACTAACTAATTAACTAAATAAATAAATAAAGCAAACCTTACAGAAAAAAAAAATTTCAGGTTTAAATATAAAATTCTGTACATCCAAATGCCCTCAAACAGATGAAAGACTAAAGATTTTGCAGAATTAATGCAAATCAATAGGTTACCAAAAATCCAATGTAGTCTCCAAGTACATTTAAATGAAAATATAATATTTTGCAGTCTAAAATATCAGTTCACATCTAGCATTTTATACTCAGCAAATGACCTTTAAGAAGTGCATAGTCAAACGTACACCATTCAAAGGAGAATGTCCAGGATGACAAAGGTACTTGGTTCCCCTGTCATATAAAAAATAGTTGAAAGTACTGGCAGAAATGAATCAGAAAATGAACCTTGTCTTTCAGACATACTGTTTAGAAAAAAAACTTTGAATCAGAACCAATGAGCAGAAGTTAAAGTGGGAGAGATTTCAATTCAATATAAACATCAAGTTTTTAACAATTAAAATGAAATGGGTAAACTTGGGGGTCAGATATCCCAGAATCAGAAGCTAAATAACAAGTCTGTCTTAAAGTGACTTAAGCAGAGGGTCTGTTGAAATGACTCCCAAGAGCCCTAATTCTGGATTTATATTAGTACACCAAGGGGGGGCTGGAATACAAGCAGGCAATCTATATTCCATAATTGTCTACTGTGTGCTCAGTACTGGCATGTATGAAGAACACTGGCATGTATCAGACATAACCAGATACGAGATTCCGTGCTCTACAGCAGGGTCAGACTGAATGGGCATCCAGGTACAGAAAAGTCATCACGCAGAGGCAGAACAACCAAAGAAGGTCCCATGGAGGTAGCTAGATTTGAGGTGAGCACTGAACAATGAAAGATGTGGCCTAGAGAAGTGGGAAGTCCTGAAAACCAGGGGTCGTATATAAACAGGTATGAGTTTGCCCTGTCACGGCCATGAGTGGCTTTCATGGCAAAATGGATGTGCTGGGAAAGATCAGACAGTTCAAGTAGGGAAAGAATAAGGAGATCCTTGAAAACCAGACCACAGCATTCACCGAATATTCAGTTTTCTATCACTCTAGCAGCAGAATAAGAAGTTCAGCCATAGAATGCAAAATGAACCAGAAAGAGAAGAGATTGAAAACAGGAAAATCAGGCAAGAAGAAAGGGTCTCAACCAAGATGCTATCTGAGGTGAGAGGAAATGGAGGAAACACTTTTGAAAGTAAAGTTTAATGGACTCAGTCACTATTTTCATATGGGGAATGACATATAAATGAGAAAAAAAGCCAAAGATCTGTGTGTATAGCTGGAAAACAGCCATGACAGGTACCTGAAGCTGTAATTGTAAAGGAACAGAGAAATTTGGTTTTGGACATTTCATGATGATAGTACCATCCAAGGCACTCTTCAAGATGGGAAACCAGAGATACTGTTGGAAAAGCTGCCAGAAGAGACAAGACTAGGCTTGAGAGTGGCATCCCAGGGCTTTCTTCTTTTAAAATGCTTTTAAACCTATTTCTATTGGTATATCAAGGGGGAAAACCCATCCAGGCCATCTCAACTGTGGTCTTCTCTTGCAATGTTTATTATTTCTAGTACTCATTCATATTTTTCTGATTTTCTAGTTATTACCCAAACCTTCACAAAGTCACTGAGAACCAGCATTAGCACGTAACAGGACTAAAGCCAGCACACTTCTAAAACTACTGATGCTCTAAGCCCATGAGAAACAGAAATAAATCCTATTTACTGTATGTAAGTTACCAACACACCACTGAACTCAAAAGATTCTGAGATGTTGGTAAGGGCTGATTTATGTGCCTATATTCAAGCATTCTTATCTACCACATTACTAAGCCCAAGATGAGCCAACCCAGACTGACTTGACATTGCTCCTTCCTGCTTTTATCTTTATCTGGGTCTTCACCTACATTTATCCTGTGGTAAGCACCATCTTCCCATCTGATTCATCCTAATTTTCTCCACTTAGCTCTTCCTCATAGTTCATAAATGTGCCTAAACTGCCTTCTTTACATTCTTCTACTTTCATCACTTATCAGCCAAACACAAACTCTCTCAACTCTTTCTGCTACTTTTTACCAACCTATCTCCATTCCTTCACTACTAAAATACTGAACAGGAATCTTCTCTTGCTGACGTACCCAACCTGGAGTCTGGCTTACAGCTCAAACGTTACTAATCCTCTAAAAGTTAGGTCCAATGTCATTTTCCCCAGGAATCTTACTTCGATTTGCCCATATCTGGAAGTATTCATTTCCTCCTTCCAACTCCCCAGCATTTTATTTGTACTTCTTTCTCTTTGAGCACTTATTGTCTATGTAATAGTACAGTTACTTGTGTTTATATCTTTCTTTCCCTAGTGGATAAGAAGCTCACTGAGGGTGGTAAATATGATTTTTCACTGTGATCCTATTATTAGTTCATAAAACTTGGATAAATGAATCTTTAATATATAATATAAATGATGTAGCAGAGAATACAGACCACTGAGCTAGAAAGCAAGAAGCCTGACAGTGTGACCCAGACAGATCCTGTCTCTGGATGAGCCATCAAGTCAGGACATGGAATTAGGCTCTCCAAGATCCTTTCCAACTCTAATATGGTATGACCTGAATTAATGTCAATCAACATAGAAAAAAAAAAAAAAGACATTTTATTTCCTAGATTATTTCTGTAGAAAACGTATCCTAAAGGGGTTGTACCACTTAAATGCTAAAAAACTGAGGAGGAAAAACAAGGATTACAGCTAACCCCAATAAATTTCTAGGCATATTCCCTATGCAGTCACTTTCATACCATGTTAGGGTGGCTTCAGCAGCATCCTTTACCCTCATAGAAGCAGGGTTTGGCTCCTTATCTCCTTTGTACTTGACCTCTTGCTCACTGCTCTTGGACTTACTTCCAGAAATACCCAGTTCCACAATCTCTAGTACTTCCTTAAGACAGTCCTAGAAGCAGGAAAGGCAAATCAGTTTTGATAATACTCCTATCTTATAAGACAAGGAAACACACCAACTGTTAATAGTGGTTATATTCTGGTAGTGAGGCTCTAGTTTCTTTCTCATTTTCTTTAATAGGTGTATATAAATTTCATAATTTTTTAAATAAATAAATTTGAGTGTTCAGAGTTAAGATAGTAAGGAATGATAAATTCAATTCAATTTTATTAGTCATAGTTCTTGTAAAATTACCTCAGACTATATAAATCATGAGAGCCCAATGAAAGAAATGTAACTGTAATCTATTAAACCTGGATGGTTTAAAACATGCTAGGTTATCCAAAGGGAAGTTCATTAGTTATTGACAGTTTTAAGCAATTTCTGGTCAAGGGCATGGTATTTTAAGCAATTTCTGGTATCATAACTTTAAGTAATTTCTGGTATCATAACTTTAGAAGCTTTAATGAAAATGACTAAGATTTAATAAACAGAATTATTTTTAAACTGTATAAGGCTCTAAATAAATATCCTCTATGCTTGATACTTCTTCTTTTATTTTCACTGTGAATTCACTCTAACTGCCTGCATCCCCATAAGAAAAATATTACACAGAATAATGTGCCTCCAAAAAAGCAGGGAAACATGTGTAAAATGAAATTTTTAGATACACGCAACCTTTACAGACCTGCCTTGCTTTAGGTTGGCAGCCTGGCTATCAACTGCCTTTCTTGGTTTGGTAATGGGTTACCAAAGTGCCTTCTGGCCATCTCAAAGCTCTCACCCTTTTAAGAAAGAACATTCCCACCCTAGCCAGTTTGGCTCAGTGGATAGAGCATTGAGACAATGATTAAGGAACTCAGATTCAATTCTGGTCAAGGGCAGGTACCTCAATTGTAGGCTTGATCCCTGAACATGGTCAGGGCATGTGTGGGAGGCAACCTATTGATGCGTCTCTCTCACATTGATGTTTTTGTCTCTCTGTCTCTCCCCCTCCCTTCCACTCTCTCCAAAAATCATTGGAAAAATATCCTTAGGAAAGGATAAAAAAAAAAAAAAAAAAAAAAAAAAAAAAAAAAAAAAAAAAAGAACAACTCAAGTAAATGAGTCAAGTCCTTATCTTTTTTTGATTTTTTTTTACAGAGAGGGAGAGCCAGAAACATTGATGAGAGAGAAACATCAATCAGCTGCCTCCTGCACACCCCCCACTGGGGATGTGCCTACAACCAAGGTACATGCCCTTGACCAGAATCAAACCTGGGACCCTTAAGTCCGCAGGCGACACTCTATCCACTGAGCCAAACCGGTCAGGGTAAGTCCTCATCTTTTAATAGAATTTCTCTATGGGTTCATTTGCAACCAAATACATGTATGACAGTTTTTGAATTGTGCTCAAAAGCATAAGTGTTCTGAAATATAACAAGTATATTCAGTTTAAAGTATGCAATATAGTACTTACATTTACATAATCTCTTTTAAAGGTATTTTCCCAACCTACATTTTATTTCTATTTACTATTTAAAATATAGCAAACTAACCTTTTCATCAAGCATATCAGGATGTTCTGTCAGCCAGACACAGAGACACTGAAAAGCTGCCACTATCATGGAGTGCAGGTCCCGGGAGTGATGAGGAGCTGGCCGACTACATTGGTACACAATGTAGCTGCACACAGAACTGATGGCTCGCTTCCGGTCTCCGGAATCAACCATCACCTTCACCTGAGCATATTCATATGGGGAACACAGTTAGCCAGAAACCATTATACCAATTTTAAAGCATCTGTACTGAGGCCTGGCCTTTCTGAGAATCTAACACACCACAGGAAACCTCGCTTCTAAAACATTATTTATATAGGAAATCAGACTATTTCAGGGGTATTATAATACTCTATATAAAAATAGAGGGCATTTTTAAATCTTAAAATAGTACTTCATTTTAATATATTTTTTCATGCCCTAAAACCTAAACTCTTAGGATGCATCTACTCACCATTGCCAGAGATCAAAAGAATAGCTGGCAATAGAACATGTACACCTTTTTTGAACCCTCTAATCCAATCCCACAATGATGTTCTAGGGTCTACAAAGTTCTGTGCAGCTGTCCAGAGGTATAATCAATATTCAGTAAACTAGACATATTTAAAGTGTACACTTTGGTAAATTTTGGCTTAAGTACATATCTGTGAACTATCACCACAATCAAGATAGTGGATATATCCATCATCCCCAAAATCTCATGTAGTTTGTAATCCCTCCGGCTCCCTTTATCCTCCTCTCTAGATGACTGCTGATCTGCTGTCACTAAAAGTTAACTAGCATAATTATTTTAAGATTTATCCACAATGTCACAGGAAACAGTACCTTGCCCTCAAAGACAGTGTGGTCCTGCAAGTCTCGTGAATGGATAGTCTTATTTTCTACATCAGTAACTGTTCCTCACAACACTATGGCCATTACACCTATCTCTGAAAATCTTTGAGGTAATCTCTAAGTGGTGGTAAGAACACCTTAGGTTTTCTAGCCCATTTTGTTTCTCAGGACTTGGTAAATCACAACCTTTGCCACCTGTCCCCACATCTGTAAAACAAGGGTATGAACTTTATCATCTCAGACAGTATCTGTATATCACCCTTTTGTTCACAAAGTGTTTTACATATTTCCTCTCGTTTCATTTGATCTTCACAACACAAGGAATTATTACACACAAGATAATCCTGCCAGTTTTACATAAAAGAAAACACTTAGATGATGAGTGAGGATGTGGAAAAACTAGAACCCCATACATCTCTGTGGAAAACCATTTGGCAGCTCCCCAAAAAGTTAAATACAGAATTACCATATAACCCAGGAATTCAACTACCAGGTATATACCCAACATAACTGAAAATTGGTATTCAAACAAATGAATGTACATGCATGTTCATAGCAGCACTATTTATAATAGCTCAAATGTGCCTCAACAAATGAGTGAGTAGACAAACTGGTACATTTAAATACAATGGAATATTATGCAGCCATAAAGGAAATGAAATTCTAGCATATTCTATAACATAAATGAACCTCAAAAACATGTTAAGTAAAAGAGGCCAGGCACAAAAGACCACATATTGTGTGATTTAATTTATTTTAAGTGTCCAGAATAGGTAAATCCATAGAGACTGGTGGTCATCAGAGATTGTGGAGAGGGGAGCCCAGAAAGCAAATGCTATTGAGTACGGATTTTCTTTTGGGGGTGATGAAAATGTTTTGGAACTAGATAGAGGTGGCGGTTAAACATTACAAATGTACTAAACATGCCACTTAATTCTTCAACTTCAAATGGTTAATTTTATAAATTTCACTTCAATAAAAAAGAAAATACTTAGAGAAGTGCAAATGGCCACCCAACTCTAAGGTTCCACAAAATTGAATAGCTGTGAAAGTAAAAGTCTAGCCAGTTTTCACCTGTCTCTGATAATGGAAGATGGAAGAGTTACAGTCCAAAATGACATATTTTAGAAGAATCACTCTTCCTTTACCAAATCTGTATTTATTAAAATTAAGTGATCCTATTCTATAATGGCACAAAATGCCACGCTGCAGATTTTAAAAATACTAAGTAAAAAAAAAAGTGAAGTTCATTTTGTAAAATCTCACTTGGAGGCTCACTCTTGCACACTTTGAATATAAACTATGTTAGAGTATAAACGAACACTGTGATACCCACACTCAAGGTGTCAGGAAATACAAAAAATAGAGCCATGGTCCTAGGCTGCTGGGCTAACATTAAAGGACTGTCCTTCTCACCTTTGCCAAGCCAGAGAGGAGCTCCAGAGCTGCCAATGATATGCTCATGTCTGGTCGCCACTGGGAGTTGAGTCTTTGGGTGACGAGATGAATGCTGCGAATCAGTAGCCCAGCAGCTGAATCTGTATTAAGAGCTAGGATATAACCCCAATGCCACACCCCACAGGGAGGGAAAACAACTAAGCATTAGTAACGAGAAGCATAGCATTCCATCAGGCACAGACCAAGCAGCCACAGTGAGCACGATGGGCACCCACACAGTGCTAGGCTACCCGCCCCACTGGCCTGACTAAAAAACAGTGCACAGGGCACACACACTGGACAAGAGCAGCTTCTAGTTCCCAGCTCAGGTACTTTCATATAGACATCCACTGGGATTTAGTAATTTCAATATCATTCTTATAACAATATAAAATTTTAAATTTCTACATTAACTCACAGAGTTACATTTTCAAAAACAAAACAAAACAATGAAAGGCTATCAATTATTTCCTTGAAATTTTAAATAAAGGGAAAAATTCAAATCTCAGAATCTTCTCAGATGCTGGGGAATTATCCTAAAGCATCTACTAAAATTATTTTCAGGGGTTAAGCCATCAAAAATCACATGCATTTGCTTTTTAAACACATTGTAACATTTAACTCAAGAATACTTTGACACTTCTAAAAAAATTAAATAACCAAGTGATTGTGTTTTTATTTGGCCTCCAATTCTATATTTAAAAGCAACTACTACTAAGCTGATAATAAATTAAATTGAATTAAATTGATAAAGGAAGCTTTAGGGACATTATACCTGTCGATCCTATCAGAAAGTGGGCAGTGACAACAGAAAAAGGAATGATCATTAAAAAGACACATTCATGCGACACTAACACAAATTTGGATTTCTTAGTAAAAAATATTTTACAACATTACAAGCAGACTTCACTAACACCAGTTCAAAATGCTGAAACAAACAATAACCACTTCAAACACTTATATAATATTAGAACACACACAATGCAAAAATTTCTTTAGTGTAAAAGTGTTTTAGAAAGCATGAAAAATAAATAGTTTTTCACCTATAATATACTTAAACCCATGAGCATAATGAGTAAGACAACAATTTAAATAAATGTAGTATTTAAATGTGTTTACTATCTACATAATGCCTTATATCTGAAATGCTCAAGGATACTTTTGATTAAAAAATTAAACTCACATCTAAGGATCTAAATTTCATTCCAACCTAGTTAGATTAACACTCACAGATTCAACACACTATTATTTGTGTATAAAAACATAAAGGCACCCACAAACTCCGAGAACCATAAAGTAATTATCCAGGGCAAAGGACACCACTGAATAGGAGTTTCTTCTGGCAACTATTTCCTTACTCTTACTTAAAATTTGTGACTGAGAAATCTAGCCAGATAAATAGTAAGGTATATAGGTTTCAAGTACAAAGAGAGATTTTCCTCTGGATTCCCATCTCATGTATTTCCCACCACACATCCTTAATACACTGAAATAACTGATGTACTGGCTGACTCTGCCACATCCTATTTGACTCTGTGTTACCAATATCTGGTAAAGAATTTAGAAATGTTTCCTGACCACCCATTATAATCATTTATAAAATCTAAAACTACCCAGAATCTAGCTATTAAAAGTTACAGAGTTAAATTTATAAGATTCTCATTTTCTTAATCTTTATATTAACAGCCTATCTACTATGCTTAAATACATATAGTACGATCATAAAAATATTTTGCTAATTTGTTTTATAACCTAGACATTAAAAGTTATTCTATAAACTCTGGATTTCAAAAAAACAAACATGGCTTACCATAATCTCTTAGGAGAGCTTGAGCAGGTCTTTCACTATCAGGAGTTGTGGGCTCTGTGCTTCCACCACTTGCTGAACTAATACCACTGTTAGTGCGACTATGACTCTTCAGGTTATTTTCTCCACCACCCTAGTCAAATAAAAATGAATCAAATATTTTAGGGCTATGGCCATAGTTTACGAGTATAAATAGAGGTCAATCATTAAAAGCCATACTGATAAAATGAAATGTGCCAACTAAATAGCACAAACTGATACACAGATAAAAAGTGGCAAGGGATTAAAACTGCTATAATATTTTTGCATCTACTGAAAGTTTATGAAGAGTCTGATGATTACAGGTGCCTATTCTTGGGTCTTCTTTGGTGCTAGGGCCAGGCAAGGACCTTTTTCATCTTCACTAGCTAAATACTCTGCATTGTTCAAGAAATACCCTAGTGCCTCCAAGCAAAACTTCAGAACAGGAATACAATCTTAAAAAAACAAAAAACAAAAAAAAAAAACACAAACAGACAGTAACTCTCAAATGTAGTTATACCATAAAATACAAAAATAAATATACTATGGTTAAAGATTAACTACTATCTATGTTTAGGAGCTAACAAACATATCTGTTAAAGATTTCCCTCATTTTTTTCCATGTAAACATAATTCATTATATCCAGATCAGTTTATTATTATTAGCCACCTAATGAGACATGAATATAATATCCTTAATAATAATTTGATCACCCATCCTACATCCACCATTCTAGTGTATTCTATTAATTTATCCACTCCACTGCCTCTACTCCAGGTATAGGAATCACATATCTTGGAGACAGAAGCAGGGGACACGAGCAGTCTCCGGAAAACTTTTTAAAGCTAAGAGCATTGGTGCTCTGGGGAGCCTTCAAACTTTGATCTAGAGGGCCTTGCAAGAGCTGATGAGATGAGAGTCAACTAGCTGCCTGCTGATAGCCAGCACTGTATCTACTAGGGACAGAAGAAATTATGGAGTAGGGGGCTTTTTCTAGATTATTCAAGCCAATTCACCAGCACAGCAAAAGAAGCTAAGAGCTTTAAGCAATAAAGACTGGGTTAGCTGGAATTTCTCTCATGCAGTATATCTCAGGAACCTGAGATACAGTTGATGATGTACTGAAAGGTAAGAAGCCTCAAAATATCTGATATTTCAAAATAGAATCCTTCTGCAACAATAAGCTGAATTTACAAACAAATGCCTTTAAAAATCACGAGGACAGATATTTGAGAATGAAATTTAATCAGAAATTGTTAGTTTCTGACAGATTACAAGTGGTAATCTTACCATTTCCATTTGGCAACCAATGGCTTCTAAAAGTGCTGAATCTTGAACGATATTTAACATTGCTCCTGCAAGAGCAAAAAGCAAACAAACAAAAAAACAGCATTTTATTTAAATACATGACAAGAATACTAAAATAACTCAATTAATAGCAGAAATATGATTTTTAATGAAGCGTTCCTGAAATTTCCATAAAGTTACCAATAAATCTGTTGACTGATCAGAAAAGATACTCCATAAAAATGCTCTAATTCTGATCTGTCCTCAAAGTTTTAAAACATTTTTCTAAAATAAATTTGAAGGTCAAACTTGTTTTATATAAAAATGACCATTATCAGATTTTTTTTTTCTGTTTGCCTTTTTTTTTTAAAAAATATATCTTATTGATTTTGTACAGAGAGGAAGGGAGAGAGATAGAGAGCTAGAAACATCGATGAGAGAGAGTCATCGATCAGCTGCCTCTTGCACACCCCCTACTGGGGATCTGCCCGCAACCAAGGTACATGCCCTTGACCGGAATCGAACCCGGGACCCTTCAGTCCCCAAGCTGACACTCTATCCATTGAGCCAAACCGGTCCCGGCTATCAGATATTTTTTAATGAAAGACCAACCATTAACATCTCAATTTCAGGGCTTGCCCAAGGCTACATATGCTGAAGGCAAGGTGCCTTCAAAATATAATGTATTTATCATCAAGGAACTCAAAGCCCTAAAAAGGCTAGAACAGAAACAAGATGGTGAGCCTAGCATACTGCTTTCTCATCCCAGTGAGAGAGTACTCTTCTCCACAATGAATAAAGACAGAACAGACACAGCTTTGCCAATCTATGGCAAGAATGCTAATTGATTCTTCCTTGGAATGTATAAGTGAGTTCTTCAGAACAAGGGGAAAGCAAAACTAAATACTCTAACCAACCACAGAAATTATCTGATTTCAAGTGATATGTTATTTGAATAACTTAAAACAGAGACCCATACAAGTTAAAGGGTCTTTCAAATTGAGATTTAACCTTTGTTCCTTCAACTCCTTTCCAAAAATGAAAGGATTTACTCTTCTCTATTGATCTCACCTTCACACTATATAACATAGTATCCTTCCTGAGCACTAACTCCAACCACTACTGTCATCATTCCTGCCTATTCAAAGTCTTCCCTATTGGCTTGTTTAGATGAATGCCAGAAAGCACAGTAAGGAAGAGTTGCAATAATCAAGTTGAGAGTAATGTGGATTTAAAATGAGTAATGAGGACTTAAAATATGCCAGTGGCCATAGTGATGAGGAGCCATTTAAGAGGCAAGCAATATGATTAGGAGATAGTAGGAAACAATAAGGAAAAAGGGAGGAAGCACAGCTACTCTTCATGTTCCTCTTGGCAGAGTTCTGACACAGCTTCCAGAACTACACCCACCTCAAAATACTTTCATATGCACGCAATGGGCAAAAGGAAGAGACAGAAAGGGGAGGAAAGGAAACAGAAGAAAGGGAGAGGGAAAGAGAAGAGGGTAGAGAGAGGAGAGGAGGACAAGATAGAAAGAGAAAAACAAAGAACACAGATAAAACTAAGCAAAAATGACTTACCAAGACAACCAAATGCCCTTCTCACCTCATCTCACTCCTTTACATTTTTTACATATAAAAGCAAACAAATTCTGCTTCTGATTCAGAATAAGTAGAGCTTTATTAGACTTAGCCTCCCATCACCAACCACTGCTTCCTCAGCATGTCTGGGTCAAAATTATCTGGTTTTTCACTTACAAAAACAATATATGAACACAAACCTAATATCATTTGAGTGTTGTTGGGGTCTGTTTCCGTTTGCAAGGCACCTATTAGTATATTCACAAGTCTCAACTTCAAGGACAAAAAAGTTATTGGTTTATCAAAAGAAGAGCTGTCATCATTACTAAACTTTCCTTCCAGAACCACCTACGGAAGAAACAAATAATATTTAACATTAATTGCTGCGGCACACTATGCCCATGTAAAAACTGATACAGTGGACAAAGAGCAGATCAGTCTAACAAACAAGGCTTTTAATCTGACTAATACTAGCCACCGTGTTGGTGTGTTGCTAACTCAACAGCATACTACGTTATCAGATGTCACCAGTCTATCACCACTTGAAATGGTAGGTGAGGCATGCTCGCTAACAGAAGAAATTTCCACAACGTATCAACTCTTTTGATTCACTAAAATTCTTTTTTAAAAATGTTTTTAAAAGCTCCTGTTCCATTTTAAAAAAAATAATTTGACTTGAATTTGCACACAAAACAGAACACAGAGTATTTTTAAAAATTTAATAAAACATTACCTCAGATTTGACTGTGCCAAAGTGATGAGGGAGGGGTAACAAAGAAAGCAGAATATTAATGGAAGATCTTCTTAATTCTGTTGGATTTACATAGTTTTTGAATTTGGAGAGTTCTCTGGAAAAAAAAATTGCTATTAGTATTTCCAAACTAAAGTATGTTTTTAGCTATTGCCAAATATACATTAAGCCAATTTTTCACAAATACAAGCACTGGGTCTGGTTTCATAAAGAATGCAGTACCTACTTTCCACTGAGTTTTATTTTATAATGTGTGTGTCCATTTTAAACTGCTGTTACAGAATTAAACTAGAATCTGATTGTCTGATTTTAAATGTAAGGCCTACTCTACCAAATTTAGGACTTCTAGGCTGGGGTTGCTATTACGCCTCCAAACCAGGCCACGAAAGATTAACATGCCCATGGACAAATCTGAACTGAAGAAGCTCAGAGATGAGGTGGGTCTGGATATTCTATACTCATTTAATGTGGCCTGAATCTCCTTGGGCTATGAAGACAACTGGACATGATAAACTAGGAAACTGGGAAGGAACCACCAAAACAGACCAGGCCAAACCCAACAAATGATATGCTAATATAGAATGACAACTTACCTGTCAGGCAAAATGGTTTCAAGAGCTGAAATAAAGTAAGGAACCACAACATCAATCCCTTTCAAGTCACAGCAGAACAAAGGAGGGGAGTTTAGAATAACGCTGGCCAAGACAGGATGGCACACATAATCATTTATCTGCAAACCTTGAATTAAAAGCATGTAAAATCTAGGAAAGCAAGAAAAAAATTTTAAACAAACTGCTGGTCAGTTGTTTTCATAACTATTAATATTTTCTACAAACTCACCCTAAAGTCTTTTTGCACTATTCACTACTTCTAACCTTTAAAGGTATGACTGAAGTTAGAACAATTCTGAATAAAAAACACTAAGAACCAAATTATCTTTCCTAATTAAAAAAATTATTGTTTATTATACCTTTTAAAGCCTTACAACTCAAATTTACAGGTGCCTACAAATAAAACAACCAAAGCAAAGCAAATGGCTGCAGTAATTATCAATAAATTGGAGGAAATACTGTATTGAAAAATGAGACTTTTTCTCTGTGACCCATAATTTGGGGAAAGACAAAGAAAGAAACCTCATTCAATCCTGCATTCATCATAATACGATACAAGACTCCGTATAGGAATATACCTAAAGTATACCTTACATTGAGTATACCTTACTTTTACCTGTTCCTCTAACTTGCAATCAATTAAGCATTCAATCTTCCATCATTCAAGAACAACTATACTGGTATACTCTTCTATTACTATGCCACACCTTTTCCTCTCTGCAAAACTCTTCCAAAACAGTTTCCCCACCTCCTGATCATTGCTCAACACATTTCAATCCATCTTTTCTCCCTAGAACCAAACTAAAACCATATTAGCAAAGGCCTCTTCATTGCTAAAACCAGAAGACATGTCTGTCTTAACTGACTGCCTTTTTAAAGCACTCAAACCTCTGATTACTCGCTTCTCTCCTTATTCTTCTGACCTCTGTGGTTATTGCCTATAATAAATTCTCTTACTCCACCTGCCTTCCAGTCATGCTGTTCCTCAGGCTGCCAACCTTAATTTTCTAAGCTGTCTCTCCCCTAGCCTGGTTTTAAACACTACTTAAGCCATTGAATATAATCAACTCATTCTCTACCCCATACCTCCCACCTGAGCTCAAGAGCCAAAAGTATACTGGATACCTGAGGGCAAGACATGTCTATTGATGTACTCCAGTAATCCTTGTGCAATGTATGGTGTAAATACTTGTTGATAAACACCTCAAAGGCACTTCAAAATCAAAACTAAGCTCATCATTGACTCCCTCACAAATCTGCTTTTTTGGTTGGTCCCATCCAGTCTTATGGACCTGACAGAAAGCCATGGCCATAACCTTCTTCCTTCCTGCTGCTGCCACCATTTGTGTAATCTCCCCAACCAATATTCTCCCTCCTGAGAAATGTTCCCCTCCTACACGAGGAGTGCCAGCATTCCATGTGACCACTCCCACAGCTATAGATGACTAGACCAGAGGTAGACACCTGATTAATCAGATTCTCTGTCTCAGGAATTTGAAATTAGGATTTAGAGATGCTAACTGGCCCTGCTGGTCACCTAGACAAAGGACGGAAAACTGAGAACTTAGAATACTGCGATATAAGAAAATGATCTGCAGAGAACAATGAAGCAGTTCTAGAAGACCATAAAGACAGAAAATTCAGAAAGGAGGAAAACCCATTTTGGTCCTTGAACACTTTCTAGATGCTGGTTCTTGCCTGATATGAGGCACTGCTGCATTTCCAGACCTTAGAATGTATTAAATGGCACTAGTTTATCATAAATGATTTTCCTCTTGCTTAAGTCATATTGCGAGCCTATTAAGATCCTTCTAAAACGAAGAGCCCATGAAGATACTCCTGCCCTAATCAGTTTGGCTCAGTGGATAGAGCATCAGCCTGTGGACTGAAAGGTCCCAGGTTCGATTCCAGTCAAGGGCATGTACCTTGGTTGCCGGCATACACCCAATAGGAGGTGTGCAGGAGGCAGCTGATCGATGTTTCTCTCTCAGTGATGTTTCTAACTCGCTATCCCTTTCCCTATTCCTTTTTTCTCTGTAAAAAAAAAAAAAAAAAAATCAATAAAATATATTTAAAAAAAAGATACTCCGGATTAGTATCCTGAATATACCATTCTGTTTTATATCTATATGCTTTGTTCCCTGTTAGTCCATTTAAACCTCTCTCCTAAGAACCTAGCAGATACACAGACACCTGAATGCTCTTGTTGATATTAACATAATTCAGCAGCTGTGCGAATAATTAGGCCATTTCAAGTTAATTTCATAAAAATGTAAAAGACCTAAAGTGTCATGGCTGGGACAAAGTGGAGAGAATAGAAAGAGCATTAAGTAGCAGGAAGGCAGGAGTTGGTTGACCAACAAAAGATATATCCGAAAAGAAGTGGAGTCTAAAATGACTTCTAGTTTCTGGCATGAGCAACTAACTGAATGGATGGCAAAGCCATTCACAAAAATTTGTTGAAGTCATAAATTTGGATAAGATGACCCTACCCAACTTGCTCATACTACTCATCTTTTTTTTTTTTTTTTTTAAACTCCCTGTAACTCTTTCAATCCTCTGTAACTCTTTCGTGAACCCCCAAGGTAAGTGAATGCTGCTTCTTCCTCTGAATGGTGACAGCACTTTGTGCTTTTCTCCTACCAACTTCCTATTACTACTGGATCATTGTAACTTCTGTAACTGGCTTTACTCACTCGAGAAATTAAGCTCCACTGTAGATGGTTCATAAATGTTAACGTAGATGGTTAATGTAGATGGTTCATAAAAATTAATTTTAGCACAATACTAGACATGTTAACATTTATGAACCATCTACAGTGTCTAGTATTGTGCTAAAATTAATTTAAAAATTAGCATAATCCTTCCAAATCTCTCCATAATTATAAGTCAGCTAAAATAGAATAATAGTTCTAAAATTAAAAGGATCTTAAGGGCCTTTACCAAATCTAATAAGGCAAGTAAAAATTGAAGATTTCAAGCAAAATCTTGATTACTTACTGACATTTTCAGGTATTTCAAGCCAACATTTACTTATCAATTCAGCCTATCAAGGCATGCTACAATACAGTTTCACTACCCAAACTACATAAATGAAAAAATAAAAAAAAATTCTAAGACCTGGATAAATAAGCTGGCAGAATCTCTTCTCCAGTCTTCTTGCTACAAAAAATCCTACACAGTGTCCCACAAGCCTCAGCTCTTCCTGCTTCATAGTTATCAGGGAATTCACTTGCATCAAACATAGGATTGGAAACCATGGTGTCTGTAGACATTTGTGACCCCTTCCGTCGAAACTCCATGCTAGCTTGTGTTGTAATGGCTGGGGAGAGAAAAGGAGGGTTTTATTATATTTGTCAATATGCAAGTAGGCTCATGGGACCCTGGACACAAAGATCAAATGTTGATGTCATTAAATAGCTACTTGAATAAAATCCAATAATTCTTTTATTTAGCAACTATGTCTTAATTTTTTTTAAGGGCTCTCTGTAATCTTCTTGGAAAATGGGTAACACTCATCTATAGTGGTATTGTCAGTTTAACAAATTCTACTAGAAGTATTTTCCAACTGAATTTTCAATCATCAGAGTACATCTGTATATATTTGTACTCAGATACAGATACATAAACACAGAATTTGGCTTTTCTATTACTTATTCTGTTTTTAATTTTCCCCTATAGAAAGATGCTTAAACATTAAGACAAATGGCTACTGCAATTTCCACATTACCCCAGACAAACATCATTAATGAATGGGCAATCCCATGCCAGTCTGTATATTATAGGGAGAGGGCAAAGTAAGGATGAGTAATGGGTAGGAAAAAAGAGCATTCCCACCACCCACCCAACTCCAAAACACACACCAAAGAATCGCCCAACCAAGCAAAATGAGAATGAATTTTAACAACCACAGACAGCAGATAACTGGAGGTTGATAAATCAGAAAATCGATTGGTAAGAAAGATTATCATGGATGGTCATTCATTGTCACTGAAACAGAAGCCCTTCGAAAGTTGCTTTTATTTTCAATAAAAGATTTCACAGTGTATTGAAAACCACTCTGAAATCTTTTATCACTCTACATGAAATGTTTAAATTATTTGGTAATATTTTTAATAGAATGCAGAGTCAAGTATAAATCTTTATGCAACTTCCCATGAGCCATTTTTAGTCCTGAATAAGCTATCCAGCAATAATACATTTAAAAAACACTACATGCAAAATGCATACAAATCAAACATTAAATCTGTATAAAAATAAGCTTAAAGCTTAAAAAAAAAAAAAAAAAAAAAAAAAAAAAAAAAAAAAAGCCAAAACACAGTTAGTGCAAAATCCTGGAATTCATGACATGACCAGACTAGTATACAGAAATAATGGGACTGATTCAGGCAGATTAATTTGCTTTTGCCAACAATCTTCCCCATTCAAAACACAGAAAAGTATTTTTCTTCCCAAGTGCAAAAACTACAAGAGACAATGACAATCAAATTTTTTAATGGAATTATGAAAAAATAAAAACATGACTGCAATTAAGGAGAAGCTTCTGGTTCCTACTTACAAGATTTATAAGAAAGAAGAATTTGGATAAAAGATGCTGCAAGATAATAGAAATAAATGGAAACAAATCAAAGGACAGCAGTAATTATAAAATACTTTAAAGATGGTGAAATTTTACAGTAAGTTAAGAAGCTTTTTAGCTTTTTAAAAAATAGATTATAAGCTTTATGATACCACAAGCTAGTTCAAAAACATAGGAAATTGTGCATTCAGATCCAAAATTATAATTTTTGTATCATGCAAAAGAAATGAACAAAGAAAATTACACAACTACAAAAGAATTGAGGTTTTGAACTGCCCATAACGTGCATTAAAATTTTAATTCATTAACCCTTCCCAGCTCAATGTTACTTTTACAAAGTACAGTGTATTGTCATGTAAACCTAAAGCTAACCAGTTCATAGAAGCAAACATTTTAAGTTAGAGGTGAACTGCATGGCAGAATTCCTTGATGACAGCCAGTACTTAGAAAACAGACTAACAGTTTTAGTATTCCCAAACTTCCCACCACCCCTGGGACCTCAAAAGAGGCACCCAACAGCACTCTAGCCCACTCAATTATCTGGACACCTCCAGTCTCCTGGGTAATGGAACAGCTTTTCTCATCTCTGAACACTATCAGGGAAGAGCAATTTCCATCTATCCTTTCCCCACCAGGGAAAATGGTAAGAGTTAAAAGTAAGAATTTGTTGCCCACATATGATTTGAATTCTGACTTGTATCTTTTGGAACAAGAGGGTGACCAAAACTGTTACAAAATCCTTAGAGAGCTGGAAGATCTGTAAATTCCCTTTGCTAAACCCACCAAGGAGGTAGCAGCTTGAACCACTCTGGATTCAGGGATTTTAGTGTCAACAGCTTGATACCCAAAAGTTACACTGTAAGAATTACATCTTAATAAAAGTATAAATATGTCTGACTCATTCTAGAATATATAAATTAATAAATATAAACATAATTCAGAAAACTAAAAATATAAGCACATGAATGTAAGAAAATATAAGCGAAAAATGGTTAAGTTTTCATTTAGTCATCAAAAGTACATTTACTAATCCATAAATAAACACCACTTTTAAACTTATAAATAAAAGATAATATGAAAATGGCAGGAAATAAAGTGTCTAAATTTGAATAAAATAAACAAAGGAATCCCTAAACTCAACCATGCAATCTCAAATTATATTCCTGAAAATGTCTTTATAGTCACAACTTTTCTAAATTATATAAAAGATCTGTAAGAATATCCAAAATAATTATATGTATAGAATGCTAACAGACATAGACCTTACTTCTGAAATTATACAAATAGGTAAAAATGCATTTGTGAAAGAAAGCAGAGATCCTTGTGGTCGCTAGTTTTATCTTTGGAATTAACATTCTCCCTAGAGAGGCATAAACTAATGCAATTAAGCCTCTTTTTACATCAAGCTATTTCCAACCCCTGTGGAAAAGTGCTTTCTTACCAAACAACCAATACACTCACTAATACAGGTAGCACAGTGCCTGGTAGGGAGCAATTCAGCTCAATGAATGATAGCCATTATTATTATTCAGCTCTATAAGCTATGTCATAAACAGTCCTCCCTAAGTACATTCTGCACTACCCTACATCCCATCCTGCACCCTATGCAATTACTTCCAAATACAAAGGAAAAGATGATAAAAATAAATCAGATTTTATTTAGATGGTGTTTCTATAATAAAACCTAAGTTTAAATCTATCGGGGTTTAGTTATTGTCCACCAGTCTTTTTTAGTTTCAGAACAAATGGTACACATGAAATAAATTTCCTCTATATTAAAACCTGAGAAGTTAGAGTCTTATGAAGCAAAAGTTTTCTGAGATTTATATGTACTAATTAGTGAATGAATGGTTGTCAAAATCTAAGAAAACACTTCTTCTGAATAAAATCGATATCAATATTATTATCCTGGCTGACATGAAGGGAACTTCCAGGTCACCTACTAAAAGAAATTTGATTCAACAACAAAAATGGCTAACATGAAGTGTGTCTAATAAAACCAGACAAAAGCCAAAGCTCATAAAACAAACATAAAAAGGACAGGTAACAAAACTTCCAAAATTATTACTTCAGCTGGAAGGGGTTAAAAAACAAGACATTGCTTTGTCAGAGACAGAGAGCTTTTTAAGATATATATTAATCTTGCAGGTAGGAAAGATTAAAAAGAAAAGAAAGAAAAGAAAAAATGATAACGTATTTCTTGAGCAATATTTACCAGTCATGCTGCTGTCTCTGTTAATCCCATTATGAAGTTTACAGTGAACAAATGCTGCATCAAATAGCCATGATCCAAAGAGATTCAAGATGCTGTTAACCTTCGGTCTCCGAGGGGCAGGCAGTGGCCGGGGCTCTGAACTAGTCTGATTTGGACTTGAAAGAGGAGAAGTGGAGGATGTCTGGTGCTGGACTTTGGAGGCATGAGCAGAACTAACCTATTAGAAGGACACAAACATATATTCACACTCATGAAAAGTTTGAAAAAAATAGCAGGACTTTTTAAAAAGGACAGATTACACAGAATAATGGTGATGAAAACTTACTGTGCTTGTCTTTATGGTGGCCTTATTCACAGTAACAGACCGATGTCTTCGATTATGTGGTGGGGTGGTACTGACAGCAGTGCTCTGAGGCATACTTAATCTATTCACGGGTGTTGGAGGAGCACTATCTGATCGGGGTCTAGAAATGCCTTTAAGAAAAGACAAATGGAATTATTCTTCATAGTTCAAAATATGTGGTCAGAAAATTTTCCTCAGGCAACACCAGTGAATGTTTAGTACAGACTACAGCAGGGACTGTTGTAGCTTCCAAACACCCATTCCCTCTCTTCCTGAGTTATAAAACACAGATTTTAGCTGCATCTGGCTCCACAAAACCAATAACTACATTTTCAAGCCTCCCTTACAGCTAGATGTGGCCATGTTCTGACCACAGAAAAGTGGGTGATGTTGGCAATCTCCTTAAAAGAACCAATCAAGCCGAAACCAGTTTGGCTCAGTGGTAGAGCGTCCGTCTGCGGACTGAAAGGTCCCAGGTTCGATTCCGGTCAAGGGCATGTACATTGGTTGCGGGCACATCCCCGGTAGGGGGTGTGCAAGAGGCAGCTGGTCGATGTTTCTCTCTCATCGACATTTCTAGCTCTCTATCTCTCTCCTTTCCTCTATGTAAAAAATCAATAAAGTATATTAAAAAAAAAAAAAAAAGAACCAATCAAGTGTAGGCTCTCCTTCCTTCGTATAATTCCTGAAGAGGATAGTTGGAACTAACTCATTCAATCATCCTGGCCCATGAGAGTGCAGAAGGGATACAGAACCAAGCCACAAGATGCACATGCCTGACAATGGTAGAACTGCTATAGCAGCCCTGTCCTGCCTAGCCCTGGGTTTAACACATATGTAAGTAAACTATCTTGTTTCAAATACTGGTATTTTTAGTTGTTATATGACAGTCAAACTTAATTTGAACTAATACAGGGATGGGCAAATGTAGCTTTACAGTTGTGAGTACACAAAACACAGAATGTATTCTTGCATTAATATTTATTAACTATTGTATTATTTATATTACAACTATAAAGCTACTTTTGCCCAACCTGTATATTCTGTATGTAATATAGTAACAAATACATATAAAAAATGCTTTAGAAAATGATACATATTAAAATATTATTGACTTTCAACAGGTAAAAAAAATTCTGACTTTTCATAGTCCTAAAATGTGAAAAACAGTTCAAAATAGTTCACAAAGGGTATAACTTGCCTCCTAATGATAGACATAAGAATGATACCCAACACATTTGAATCTGTATTTTCTTGATTTACTAGTGAGAATAAACAGTCTTCTTTTGCAAATCTTTTATTCATATCCTTTATCTATTTATCTGTTCATCCTTTTCTTGGTCTTTCATAATAGTATCTAAAACTAGACTCTAAAATAAATAAACAAACACATAAATAAATAAAACTAGACTCTACATGTAGCTCTTCAAACATCTAGCAACATACACAAAATTCACCTAGGAATGCATCCACCAGACAGCTGATTCCACGCATGGCACGAAAAAATATTTGAGGCAAATGTTTAAGGCAGGGATATTGATTCAATTCTTGTGGCATTCCGCTCACATTCAGGAACTGCTCCTGAAATTTGGGAGTAGAGCTTATAATGGCTGGGTTACTCAAATCCACAGGATTACTATCAAAAGAGAGAGAAGAATTCATTAAACATTTAAAAGATTCTTTAGCAATAAACTGCATGCAATCTATTTTAAGAACAGGGCTGTTTGTGCCTATTTAATTCAGGAGAGGAGACTAATCCGTATTTAACCAGTTAACTGCCATGCATCCAAAACAGGAACCATCCCCATTTAATCCCTATGTACTGGACTATTTACAAATTTAAGTTACCATAATTTTCTTTACAAACCCAGAGATATCACTAACAAGTCTGGTTTTAAAATTGGGCGACCAGAGTTGATTGCGAGGTTTGCGACTGCAGACGCGCATGGCATGTGGGGAAGGTCCACTGCTTGTGTCTATAGACTCTTATGGCGTACAAAGGTTTAATAGGTTAGGGATTCAAACATCAGCACTTCTTTACAGAAGATCTGCAGTATGTTTACATGAACTTTCTCTGCCTGTTCAAAGAATGATAATCTAAATGAGACTAAAAAATTTAAAAATTTTAAGAGTATACATGAATATTTTTCTAATATGTTTGGAATTAAGTAATGAAATAAAAATTGTAAGTAAATCAATAACTCCAAAAAATTTTTTTACTTTAATACTAACATAATCAGTTATGTTAAAATTGGGGTTATTTGTATTCATATGTATGTACATGAATATATTGCATATATTCAAAACATATTTTTTCAAAACAACATACTGGTTTTTTTTTTATGTGTAAACCAGAAGCCCGATGCACGAAGATTTGTGCAAGAATGGACCTTCCTTCCCCTGGCTGCCAGCAGTGTCTTCGCTCTGGCCTGGAGCCGCCTTTCTGCCTTCCTACGCTGCCCAGAGGCCCAGAGTAGCTTGGGTGGTCCAGAATGCCTGCACAGTCGCCAAGGCAATGATGCAAGTGTCCTGCCCCCCCCTCCCCACACCACCACTAGGCGCCTGTGTATGCAAATTAACCCACCATCTTTGTTGGGTTGATTTGCATACTCACTCGTGATTGGCTGGTGGGTATCATGAAGGTACAGTCAATTAGTATGTTACTCTTTTATTAGGTAGATAATTTTAAATATTTCCACTAAAAAATAGATTTAGATTTCTACTCAAAATGGGCTACTTCGCTATCCATTAAATGGCCTCTCCAACTCAAAGTAATATTGTTTAAACCTACAGGCAGTACTTGGAAGGAATTTCCACTAACTATGAGTTACAAAGAAATAAGCTGAGAAATACAAAACAATGGTTTATAACTGCTCTGCCCCTTGAAACCTCTTTTCCTACCCACTCAGACTCTTAAATGCAAGTGGGAACAAGGGACCATATATATGGGCTTCTAGTGTTCCTAGACTGTATCCATAGAACTATAATCCATCATGTGGGATAGAGGGGTTAAGTATAGTAGCAGTACCAGAAAGCTTATACCAGCTTCTCCGCACGTAAATCTGAAATGATTTTACTGGTACACAAATATTAGAGAACAGATTTAAAAAAATTTGAAATTAGAATGTGTAACAAAGGATATAGATCAGATAACAGAAACTGCATCCCTATAGCTCTCAATGCTGTGTATATCTGACACAAGTAGAGAAGCCTGTTAAAAATCCAAATTCAACCTAGATTTACTGAAACAGAACTTCCATATTGAAATAAATTAATATAAATTACTATATCACATCAACAGGTAAAAAATAAAAAAACTTTTAATCGTTTAAAATAAATACCAAATATGATTTGAATAAAATTCAGTACTCTTCCTGATTTCATTTACATTTTTAAATTTTAAACTTTTTAAATGATTAGGAAAATAAAAAACAAACAAAAACTAATATTAACAACTAACATCCCACTCAAAATTTCATATAGTGCAGACATTCCAATGAAAATTAGAATATAGAAAACCCTTCTAATCTTAAATAAACACAAAATTACAGAAAAATATATTAAAAATATGAACAGAAAAATGAAAAACAAATTGGGAAAAAATAGAAAATGGTTAACATCCTTAATTTATAAAAAGGTCATACAGAATAAATTAGAATCACTAATTAGAAAAATGAGGCTAGTCAAGTCAGAAAGAAAAAAGATATGCAATAACAGAAGTTCCACAGAGCACAAAGATAGGGCTAGCAGAGATAGGGTAGGAAGCAATGAAGCTGGATTGAACAGAATTATCAGAAAGAAAAAAATTGTAGAAAGTAGCAATTTATCCCTCTGAAATTTTACAGTATTCCTCAGCAAAATTTTAAACAAGGTTACTAGAGGAAAGGCTCTGAAAACCATACTGACCAATCAGTGCTGGTCACAGAGAGGAGTAAGGTAGCCCCACTAAATGTGACAAACTCCTGGAAAAATATCATCTATGCTCTAGCAACAGGCAAGAGAACAAAATGCTGCAAATGCCACAGGAAACATGCTCCTAGACCAAGAGCAGCTGAGCATACCCTGACCCTACTAACAAGGAGAGCAGAAGCAGCTGAGCATACCCTGACCCTACTAACAGGGAGAGCAGAAGGCACATCATGTAGATGAGTGTGCTGTCCACTTTGGGTCCACTGACACTCTGAAATCCATTAGGAAACTTGTAGCATGGTTTCTGCCCTAAGATACTTACTGGGAAAAGAGCACATGAAAAACTAAATTAATAGTACCTTAACATATGTAAAAAGCGAAACCATGTCTGTGCAACACACTCATTATCCATTTCAGGAGGGATCAGACTGGCATCTTCATCAGGAACTTTAAATGGAGGAAATGAAGGACCATATGTAAAGCGTAACAATCTAGAAGAAAAAGAAAATCACACCACTAAGTTAATTTCTTAACCAGAATGAACAATACATTCAAACATTAAAATACAAGAGAAAATAGATGAAACATAAATAGATGAAACATGTATTTATACCTCACTGAAGTGAATAAAATAAAACCCTTGTTTATAAGACAAATTAGAAGATTTCTAGTTTTTCTTTTTTTTTCTTTTTTAAATCCTCACCTGAGGATATTTTTTTCATTGATTTTTAGAGAGATTGGAAGAAGTGAGGAAGAGGGGGAAAGAGACAGAGAAACATTGTGAGAGAAATACATCAATATCGATTGGTTGCTTCCCGCATACCAGCGGCCAGGGAGCAAACCTGAAAACAAGGTACCTGCCTTAGACCAGGAATTGAACCCACAATCCTTCGGTCAAACTGTCCAGGGCCAGATTTCTAGTTTATAAAAGGATTTTTAAAAGATTTATTCATTTGTTTAAATTATTATTTATATTTTACTATTATAAATTATGTTTTATATAACTATATATTATTTAAATTTATAACGTTATAAGAGTATAAACTAAGTACTACACATAAATTTTATATTTTATCATATAAATAATAGATATATATTATACTAGAAGCCTGGTGCACGAAATTCGTGCATGGGGGATCCCCTCAGCCCAGCCTGCACCCTCTCCAAACTGGGACACCTAGAGGGATGTCCACAGGATCAGGCCTAACCAGCAGTTGGACATCCCTCTCACAATCCGGGACCTTTGGCTCCTAACTGCTCACCTGCCTGCCTGCCTGACTGCACCTAACTGCACCCCCCTCCCCACTGGCCTGGTCACCCCCCACTGCCCCCCCTGCAGGCGTAGTCATCCCCAACTGTCTACCCCCGCCAGCCTGGTTGCCCCCAACTGCCCTCCTTCCCCGGCTTAGTTGCCCCTTAATGCACCCCCTGCCGGCGTGGTTGCCCCCAACTGCCCCTCCTGCGGACCTAGTAGCCCCATGCAGCCTGCTGCTCTGTCATTCGGTAGCCCCTCACAAAACCCCCTGCTGGCCTAGTCACTCCACGCAGCCTGCTGCTCGGTCATTGGTTGGCCCTCACTACCCTCCCTGCCAGCCTGATTGTCCCACACAGCCTGTTTGGTAATTGTTCAGTTGTTTCAGATATGATGGTCGCTTAGCCTTTTATATGTATAGACTAGAGGTCCGGTGCACGGAATTCTTGCACGGGGGTAGGGGTGTCCCTCAGCCCAGCCTGCACTTTCCAATCTGGGACCGAGTAAGCCATAATTTTTTCATAATAATAACTGCCAAATAGCTTTACACAAAGTTTAGAATTCATGGTATACCTTAAAAGTAATTCAACAATTCAATTACTTAATTTAATAGTAATATTCCAAATGTACTAAAAACTATCCAAAGCCCTTTGACTGAATTATTACACTTCTAGAGATTAGATTTTAATAAAATAACCAAAATATACACATAGACAATGTATAAAACATTTACATCAACAATATTTTTAAAGTAAAACACTGGTAACAACATCAATATAAGAAAAAACATAGGGATAATTATTTTTTTAAGTTTTTTTATTGATTTTGAGAGAGAAAAGAGAGGGAGAGAAACATCCATTGGCTGTCTCCTGCATTCTCCCCAGGTAAGTGCCCTAACCAAGAATTGAACTTTCAACCTTTCAGTGCATGGGACAACGTCCAACAACTGTGCCACACTGGCCAGGGCAAATATAGGAAAATCATTAAATGAATTCCATTTATATAACAAAAAAACTACAAAGCCATTAAAAATATGATCTCAAGATCTAATGAAAAAAAGAAATATGTGATAAAAATCAGACATTAAATTTAAAAAAACAGATAGTACAATGAATAAATCTCAAACTGATTTTTAAAGAGAAATGAGAAAATATTCATTCAACTGTTAACACTGATTGTAAGTGATGAATATTTACACATACACCTTCCAAATTTTTTTATTATAAGTATGCATGACTTTTACAATCAAGATAAGTATTATTTAAAAATAGGTTTATAATACTGACATTCAGCAAGATTACCAGAATTGCTTAAAAATGTATATAAATTTTTTTAAAGTTTATTAGAATCAACAGAATATTTCAAACCATCATTTAGTTTAAATACTGATAAAGATATAAATATTTTATTAATTCAGAAAAAGAGCAATCTACCTTCTGATATAGAGTACCACCCACAAATTATTTGTCCCCCCCAATCAAACCTGAATCATACCAAATCTCTAGATCTAATTCCCAGTTAACAGGACGTACAGGTAATAAAGAAACATGTTAATTAACACAAGTAGGACATAATCAGGAAAATCCAGAATGTGAAACAATTATAAAACAAGCAACCCAGTTTCTTTAACCAAAAAAAGTACAAAGAAATAAAGATGAGAAAGAGAAAACTATAATTTAAAATAGGCTTATGAAACATGTCAACTAAATGCAATACCTAAACCTTTTTTGGTATTGGATTCAATAGAATCAACTATAAAAAAGAAAAGGATATTAAGACATTCAGGGATTTGAATATTCAATAGCTAACTAAGATTAAAGAATTGTTAAGATTTTTTTTTAGGTACAATAATGGTATTATGAAGAATCTTCATTTGCCCTGGTTGGTATGTTTAGTGGTTAGAGTGTTGGCCTATGCACCAAAAGGTCAAGTGTTTGATTCCTGGTCAAGGGTGCATCCGGGGTTGCAGGTTCAATCTAAATGTGGGAGGCAACCAATCAATGTGTTTCTCTTACATCAATGTTTCTCCCTCTCTCTCAATCTCTCTCTCTCTCCCCCCTTTTCTCCCTCCTCTACACTCTCTCTAAAAATCAATGGAAAAAAATATTGAGTGAGGAAAATAATAATAATAATAATAATAAAATATAAACACAATAAAACTGGCTTGATTCTGTATCTAAAGTATCACAATAACAGATACAAGGTATAGGCTTTTTACAATGTATTCCATGAATCCAAGAAAGAAAATGTAAGATGGATGAAGGAAGGTAAGTCAATGACAATAGCATACCTTGAAGTGAGTGCACAGATGACCTTGCTCCACTGCTCCACCACGGCTGGGTGGTGCCTCCAGTTAGCCACCATCTCCTTAGCTGTTTTCCAATATGGAGGTGTTGGGAAGCACCGAGTACAAGCTAATAACCAAACCTCAAAGAGAACACCAATCAACTTCTCTGCCAGATTCTCAGCAATTCCACCTTACCAACAAAAAGAAAACATATCTTTGATATACTTATTTTTAAAGCAGAATCTTCAATTCACTGATTTAAAAGGGCTGATCAAAAAATTAAAATAACAGCAATGGTAAGTTTTGACTTTCAAACCACTTAAGAGTAAGAACAAGAAATGATTCTTAGGAGTGGCTATGAAGGAAATCATAGCTATATTAACCAATTATCACTTTGAAAGTTTTTAAGTCACCCTGCTCAGTTCTTATCCAAGATCCTAATCTACTAGCAAGTGGGACAGGATCACATCGGGGAGAGAGGAAAGAATGAGTGCCTAAAATGATCAACCTCCCATAATCCTCACATTAATTCTACAGGATAAGTATTTGTGAAACCTACTAGAAGCCTGTGCCCTCCCACAGTCCGGCACCCCTCGGGTTATGTCTGCCTCGGGGTCCTTAGTGCTGCTGCCACTGCCACTAACTACGCTCGCCAGCAGTGAGCCCGGCTTCTGGCTGAACGGCGCTCCCCCGGTGGGAGTGCACTGAGCACCAGGAGGCAGATCCTGCATTGAGTGTCTTACCCCTGGTGATCAATGCGCATCATAGCGACTGGTCGGTGGACTTGCATATTAGCCTTTAATTATATAGGATTACTGATTATCAATTAACCCAATTTGAAGATGAGAAAACTTAGGTTCAGGAAATTTAAGTAGCTTGCCCAAATTCACACAGCTAGTAAGTAAAGGAATCAGGTCTTTCTACATCCAACTTAGTTGTAAATTGCTTCAGGTGTACATTCCACGCTGCATTTGTTCACAGTAGATTGTACCTGCAGGGTACGGGGGTGATTTTTCCACGCAACTCCTAGCCCACGTGTGGAGCTGCCTGAACCAAACAGGTCAGACCAGCACCTACTGGTGCCCATCCACCCACTAGAGCCGACCAGTGCTCCACAGGGATCCAGGAACAGGTATTCAGTGCCCAGATGCCAACCTTTCCAGGAGATGGGACCTGAGTCGGGTGATAGATGGAAGTTGCAAAGGGTTCGCCTGCAGATACACATGGGTGTTGGTCACTGGGTTGGACTTCACTGGCGCTCACTCTTGAGATGGGGGTTGGCCCAGGCAGTATGTGCGTGAAGCACTTCTGTGGGTTTTTCCTGAACCCGCATCCAGATACCCAGAGGGCAATAGGTAAGGAATGCAGGGTCCTAAGGGAGAGTTCCAGGGGCCGGCAGCAGCTGATCTATGGTTATTCCGGCTACACCCCACCACCTGGGCATCAAGCCTGCAGTCTATTCGCTGGAGATTATGCCTGCCGGAGGCAGGAGAGGCTCACATGCCACAGCTGCACTTGCCAGCCATAAGCCTGACTTCTGGCTGAGCAGTGCTCCCCCTGTGGAAGTGCACTGACCACCAGAGGGAAGTTCTTGCATTGAGCGTCTACCCGCTGGTGGTCCGTAGGCATCATAGAGACCGGCTGTTCCGCCATAACAGTCACTGGGCTTTTAGATAGATAGATAGATAGATAGATAGATAGATAGATAGATAGATAGATAGATAGATATAGATAAGCTACTGTTCCTGCCATTATAAAGAATACATTAATTCACCCTACCATCACTGAAGATAAAATAATTTCATATCATGCTTTCAGGGTTTCCAATCTAAGAATTGTTAACCTTGGTTTGCCAACTATCATGCCAAAATTTAAATCACCACTGAGTCTATTACTCATGAATTTAAAAGTAAACGATTTGAAGCTCAGAAATAACTTAGAAAAAATAAGATAAACAAACCTTGAACAGTTGGAGGGGCTAGAAGTATGTCATTAATCTGCAGAAGAAACAACAATAAGACTTCCCAGGTTTCTCGGGCCATGATGGATGATTCGCGGGCCAGTTTCTGAATGGCCCTCAGGACCTGTAGGCATAGTCGGATCTGACTGGAGCCCTGTTCCTGTCTGAAGAAGATGGACAGATATCACTGACAATCCTTGAGAAGAGAAAGCAACAGTTTAAGGACAGGCATTATAGACACAGCAATGGTATAGTAATACTCCCTAAGAGAATCAGCAGACCTAAGGACTAGACACGATCTCTTCAGTTCAAAGTTACTTCCTTCCCCATCATCTGGGATCTCAAGCTACCACTCTTATGAGGGGTAGAAAGCTTCTGGGGTGAGAGGGAATACTAGAAATGTAAGCTTCACCTCTGGATTTTCTATGTCTACAATATACCTGCACGTATCAAAAGGTATGTGATAGGTTTCTGTTGAATGAGTGAGAGAATACCTACAAACACTCCTGCTGCACACACTGAAGCAGAAAGACCTTTGTATTCTTTTTTCAACGATTTAAATGCACATACATAAGAATTCTGCATAGGATTTCATAGTGCTCATAGTACCTATGAAGTTAATGTCTGTTAGCAAAGAACCTATGGACCCAATGAAATATCATTAACAGGTCTCTAAAATCCATGAGGTATGCAGGTAATTGCCTCAGAGATGAGGACCTGCTACTGCTATTCTAATAAAAAAGGCACCTTAACCCAAAATGGGGGCTCCAAAGTTTCTCATATATTCTAGAAGTTTTATAACTCTCTTTAGTGCACAGGACCATTTTTTTCCACAGGAATAAAACAAGTCAAACTATTAGGGCTGGGGTTGAAGAGGAAAGAAGATATAGGCTCAAGTCCGAACCCTTATTCCCACTCTCTAAAGTAGACCATGTAAGAATTTTGAGAATAGTAGGAAACCATTTGCAAATGGTGAGTTGACTTCCAGACTTCCTATATGAAACCCAAAACAAGTAACTAATATTATTGAAATAAATCTTAAAGTCAAATCTTTATATATTATGACATGTCATAAAGAACATGTCTGAATCAGAGTATAAAATCTCAGGCCCCCTCAAGAAATCAAGAAACTCACGTGAGTACCCCTAAAACTCTTACCCCAACCTTACAACAGACATTCTCAGATTCTAAGCCATGACCCAGAAAAAAACTCACCCTCAAGTTGCAAACAAATGACACCACTAAGTTTTCCCAAAAGAAGTCAAACCTAAAACAAAATGATGAGACATTCGTGTAGGAAAATCAAGAGCCCTCAAGAAAATTGTAAATTGTAAATTCAGTAGTGTACAAGTTTCTAAGTTTAGATAAATAAGGTAATCTTTACTAAAAAATAAATAGAAAAGCCCTAACATAAGAGACTTTCCCCAATATTTTCAAAGTAACTTGTGCTCTTCAGAAAAAACTGTTCTAGAACAGGGGCTAATGAACTGTGGCCTATGAATCAAATCTAGCTCTGCTAACAGTTTTTACAAATAAAGTTTTATTAGAACACAGCCAAGCTCATTTATTTATATATTATCTGTGGCTGCTTTCTCTACATAAGGCGAGTTCAGTAGTTGCAACAGATAATATATGACCAACAAAGCCTAAAATATTTACTACCTGGTGCTTTATAGAAAACTCTGCCAACTACACTGCTTTATAAGAATATTATGTTTTTTAAAGTCCAGTATATTTGAGCAATAGGTCAAAACCCTAATCATTTTTTTAAGTGGTTCACTTTTTTCTCAATTATGCCAAAAAAAAAAAAAAAAAAAAAAAAAAAGGAAGAAGAGAAAAACCACACTCAGGCAAAAGAGAAAGATTATATCTACTCTGATCTCTTACAAAGAAGTAAAGGCAGTTTCCGTTTTTTAGTGTCACTTTTTATAAAAACCACTAATTAAGTAAATTTGATAACAATTTTCTGAACAATCTGAATCAAAAAAATTTTAATTTTCAATAATGGGAGATGAAATAATAACTCATAATATTTAGCACTGGACTTATTCAGCTCTCTTAAGATATTTTTGGCCAGGAGAACTCTAAGACTCAGTTTAATACCCTCTTAGAAGTATGCACACACACTTTTGAGAAAACAAGCCAATTACAAACAGTAGCATGAATCATTTGTAAGATGTCATGATTCTCAAAAGAGAAAAGCAAAAGCCTAATGAACACAAATGACACTGACTTTTTCAATAGATTGAACACTAAGATGTGGTAAGGGTACAAACAGAAAGACACAATGATTTACAACTCATGAAACTGTCCCATGCAAATCAAAAAGGCCAGCAAATTGATCTCCTAAAATGGGATGACAAAAAAGCATTAAAACTATTTGAGAATCTGTTTTGCCACAAAAATACGCAAATTACTGCCAACCATTTCCTATTATTATTTCCATTTGAAATCAATAAACACAAGCAATCAGCATTTAAGTCACACTAAAGGTAATATCAGTATTGCACAAGACACTGTAGAAGCCTAAAATATGTACACAGCCCAGTAACTGCTCTCAAGTTGGTTAGATGGGGAAATGAGATATACACATTTTAAAACCTGAGGAAGATATAAGAGTAACACAGGAAGTACCACACAGGTTCACAGAAGATTTGGTCACTATGGGCCTCAATGGTAAGATAGGGCTTCTCTTTACAGGGCAAGACTTAAGATAAACCAACAGAAATGCAATGAGGACAGCTAGGAGAGGGAAAGGAAGAGTAGAAAGATGAAAGAGTAGATGATAATAGGGAAGATCTTTAAGGAATGTTTAATTTATGAGTCTGACCAAAGAGCTCATGCATATTTAGTAGCAGTTGATCTGGGTAGGGGCCAGATTACAATAGACATATCACACGAGGTAAAGAGTTTATCCTTAATCCTAGACACCAGAGTTCTTAAAATGTATTTTTTTTCTTTTTAATTCAGATTCCCCAAAGTTACCTTCCTTCTAAATTTAAAAAGTTAAAGTTTATAAAGCTTTGGATAGTTCAAAGTTCCTCATCATCTAACAGACCAAAAGCATTAACTTTTCTAAGACAAAAAATAGCTAAAAATCAATTTTTCTTACAGAAAACACCCACAAATGTGTAGAGAACTAATGTTTATTCATTAATTTATATATTTCCCAAATTCTTTACAATGACATAATTTTTTTTAAAGTTGGAATAAAACATTTAAGAACAAATAAGGCACATATCCTACATTACAATATTGACTTTGCCTCAGAGATGGGAGAAATCAGTAACAAACTGTCAAGATATCCTGTTGGACTTCCTACAATAAATTTGCCCATAATAATGTCAAGTCTGCTTATTTCAATGATTTTATTCTCTCTCAGGAAAGATTCATTTTAAAGTAGACTAAAAAGCTTAGTTGCTTTTAGTTTCAGTGGAAACAAAAAGTATGATAGGCTAAAAGTATGTCTTTTTGAATGGAAGGAAAAAGGTTCACAGTATTTTTTTTAAAATATATTTTATTGATTTTTTACAGAGAGGAAGAGAGAGGTACAGAGAGTTAGAAACATTGATGAGAGAGAAACATCGACCAGCTGCCTCCTGCACACCCCTCACTGGGGATGTGCCCGCAACCAAAGTACATGCCCTTGACCAGAATCGAACCCGGGACCTTTCAGTCCACAGGCAGACGCTCTATCCACTGAGCCATACCGGTTTTGGCAAGGTTCCCAGTATTTTAAATATCTAATAGCTATCAGATTTAGAAAAAAAGCCAAAAGCCTTTAAAATGGCCACACACTTAAGCATATAAGCCCAACTCTCCTAACATTCATATTAATATACTCTTTAACTGAATAAGTAATGAAAGTTAACTCTTTAAAGGACTAACAAGCAATCAGTTCCTATAATACAAAAAAAAGTAACATTTACGAATATTTTACTATAATCTTGATAAAAGGCCAGATAGACAGGGATAGCTTACCTTGGTACAAAAAGATTTTGCAGGTGTTTTAGTATACTTTGAACATAGAGATTTGGTTCTTTAATAACTGGCAACGGAATAGAATCTTTCGGCAACACTAAAGCCATAATCCAGTCTGTATATACATCAACACAATATTTTACAGTTTCTCCATCCAATGGAAGAGTCAGTCCATAGCAAATTACTTCCATGGTCCATTTTACCTAAAAAAAAAAAAAAAAGAAAAAAAAAAGAATAAAGTAATATAGAATTATCACACATCCCAATCTATATCTCAATAGACTGATTTAAAATGCTAACCTCTTTTATCGCCCAAACAAACCCTCTCAATTGATGATATATTCATCTCAACACGTGTCAAGTTTATTCTAAAGAATGTATCTTTCATGTATAAAGGATACTTAGACATTTCCCAAGCAAAAGATTTAAGAAGAAAATAAATTACTTATTTCTAAATATTAAGCCTATATTGGCACTTACCCTTTAGACATTATTATTGTTTGCTCTGAAAATAAAAAGTACAGGACATATTGATTTTCCACAGAGATTGGAGGCAAAGCAATAAAAAACTTTTGATATTTTTCTCCACTTAATTACATGAGAGTATATGTACCATTTAGGAAATAATGTACACAAATTCAATCACATTCCATTTCCAGATTATGAAACATTAACAACAGGAAGGAAAATGAACTGCTCAACTCATATCTTGTGACTATTTTCTCTGCTAAAGAAAATATTTAAAATGGAAAGATAAGAACAAACACAAGTGAGAAGGTAAGATATTAACAAGGCACTTAGCTGCACAAAATGAGTTACAGCCTCCGGACCCAACTGAATCACATCCTAGAGGCTGAAAGAGCTTACCACAGAGACTGCTGAAACTTTGCTTACAGTCATGAAGAATGAATAAGGTATGATGAGAAAGAGAAAACAGCCCAATTTGCAAAAGAGGATGAAACTACATTCCAGGTACTGTAGAATGGAAAGTTTAAGTGAATCCAAAGAAAATTGGGACAAATTACTAATCAGATGATCAGTGAGCACTTATAAAAGGGAAGTCCGATCACTGGGAACCAGCCTGCTCAAAAAGAACAAGTCATGCCAGATAAGCTTCATTCCTTTATAAACAGGGTTACTATGAAGGCAGTTGACAATTGTATAATCCTGGCAGTTTATGAAGCACTTTCCTAAATATCATCTAATAATCAAAATAACCCTGTGTGAGAGGGTAAACTATCCTGACTTTATAAATAAGAAAACTGATAAGCAATTTGGCCCAAGTCACTGGTTTGGAAATGCTGGAGCTGAAAATTTGAACCCCAGTCTAACAACTAGAAATCTGAAGTTATTCTTACCATGTTATTAACCTTTATAATAACCCTACTATGCAAATATCATTTATAATAAAATATCCTTTATAATATCCTTTATAATATCCTTTATAATAAAACCCTACTTTGCAAATTGACCAAATGGTGGAATGACCAGTCGCTATGATGAGCACTGACAGCCAGGGGGCAGACACTCAACGGTGGTCAGTGCACTCCCACAGGGGTAGCGCCACTCAGGCTCACAGCTGGTGAGTGCAATGGCAGTGGCAGGAGACTCTCCTGCCTCCACAGCATCGCTAAGGACCCCTTGGGGGTTGTGTGACTGCCGGTTTAAGCCCACTTGTGGGGAGCGGGCCTAAGCCAGTAGTCAGACATCCCCTAAGGGGTCCCAGACTGAGAGAGGGCACAGGCAAGGCTGAGGGAACCCCCCTCCCCAGTGCACAAATGTCATGCATCAGGCCTCTAGTAACAATATAATGTAATGTAATATATAAAATAGCAATAGCCTTGACCAGGTGGCTCATTTGGTTGAAGCATCAATTGTTGTGGGTTCAATTTCCAGTCAGGGAGCATACCCAGGTTGTGGGTTCAATCCCAAGTTAGGGCACATATGGGAGGCAACCAATTGATGTTCCTTTCTCACATAGATATTTCTCTCTCCTCTCTCTCTAAAAATCAATAAACATATCCTCGGGTGAGGATACAAAAAAAAAAAAAAAGCAGTAAATATTAAAGAAGTCAGCACAGTGAAGGTGTGACAAACAGGGCAGAATTTAGCTACACAAAAGAAAGAATTTTAAAAGAGTTGCAAGTCCCTCTTACTAAAAACAAAGGAGAAGATATCATTGGTGATCTCTTCACACAGTAGATTAACTGTGTAATTCTAGAGGAGACTAGATTCCAGGGCTACTCTCTCATATTCTTTTGAGGGCGGGAAAAGAGAATAAACAAGGGCTGCACCAGAGCACCCCTATCTACTCATGTGCCATCTCTTCCTAGGACAAGACAGCAAGGGATTATAAACACACCAAGAGGAGAGTGCACCATGACAAGTGCTGATCCTCAGGATAAATCTCTGCTAGGATACTCTGAAGAGAGAAAAATGCTCCTCCGAAAGAAATGAAAACTTTCCAAACACTCTCTGAATATAAACCTGTGGACTGTGCCTTGAGTTTAAGAGGAAGGGCCTGACACTCAAGTCTCGTATCTTGGGCATACAGCTCAAGTGGAGAATTGAGTCTGATTAGTAGGAAATCCCAGCAGCACAATGATACAACCTATTCCTTGCAACTGCAACAAATAGGTTGTATCCTGAGCCTCCACCCCTCTACCCAAAGAAGGTCAACATACATAGAGAAGTCACATTGCATTGGGCAGAAATCCATTAAAAAGATTAAAAAGATGTCAAATTCATTTATAAAGTTGTATGTTCACATAGTAGAATGAAATGAAGTAACTTACTTCTTTGTCAGTTTTTAACAAACTCTCACTACTAGCCGCTGAAGAAGTTACTAAAGCCTGCCCGAGAGGATGGACAACTGCATTTGCCACCTCTCGCCCAACGCTCTCTGGATAGCTGTGCAGAACACTGGTGTGACCCTGATCATTCTGAATCACCAAATGCAGGGACCTCCACTCAGAGTACATCGTGCCGCTAAAGTACTATCCAAATGGCACCTGAAAAGACAAAATAGAATTACATGTCAAATTATACTGCTGCAAATTAATACAAGGAAATAAAATACATATTTACCCTTCAAGGCAAGATAAAGAAGCTGCAAATATTTTTCAGATAATGGTTTCCAGGTACCTAGTACATGCTGGAAACACACCCCTGTAATTTCCCATCAATGTCCTCAAATCAGACAGAATATTCTTTGAGAATATTTTATTCCCTGCAGTAGAGGCACAGAAACTTCCAGTACTGGAACACCTAGAAGTCACAGTGTCCTTCAAAAACCATATTAAGAGCTCCAACTTATTGAGCATTTATTACATACTACTCATGTAATCATCAAAATGACTCTATGAATTTTAAGTAGTATTATCTCTACTTCACAGATGAAAAACTGAGACATGGAGAGATCTGCTTCTTACCTAAGGCTTCAGAGCTATAATGTGATAGAACTGGGTTTTGAACCACATCTGCTGAGTTCCAGAGACCATGCTCATAACCATGGCATGCTCTCTGTCTCTCCCTTTTTCTATACTAGTACATTTCCCATGGCAGGTACTGCTTCTCCCTTCTCCCAAGCTATATATTCTCCATGAAATGATGTCTAAGTCTATCATACAAATGAGAAATTTTAGTCACAGAAAACACATCTATCAGAATGCAATATAAATATTACAATCATAAATGCCATATATTTATGAAGAGAATCAAGGATGGTTAGCCTTTTACTATTAATTTCTGTTAACTTCCACTTTCTACTTGCTCTGAAATGTTTGTCCAGCCAGCACTGTTTAAACAAAATACATGGGTACACGTAATCTTCAAAAAGTTCTAGACCTTAACCTAATTTTTCTTCCAACTGGAAGAGACGAGCACTGTTTAATTTTATCTTAGAAAACCTCATTCCAGCTCAAGTAATATCAGTGTTTAACAAGAGGATATGGTATTAAAGAATCATGAGCCTACAGAATGAAGATCAAGCTCCTTAGCATTAAAGATTAGGAAAAGGATGAGGAGGGATAGATAGATACTGTAGTGAGATAGGAAAACATAACTGAAGTCAGATGACTAAGGACTTTTACTGTTATGTTAAGGATCCTGAGTCTCTTTCCTAGATAAGGCAGTCAGCTAACAACCTGAGCTGCTAGCACAGAAGTCTCTACCTTCAATGCTCCAGAACTAAATATGATAGGAGGAAGGGGAAGATGCTCCTTGTAGATCATTTCATTTTCTTCCCACCTCTAAAATGCACCCATTTTCTTGGTAATCTCTCTGGAGGTTTCTATTACCAGGTGACTGTGCGCTGGGTAACAGCTTATGGTCTGTAGGTATTACCGCAGAATAACATGAAGGTTTGACCTAACTGACAAACTACCAAAATGATCAATACAGTGGTAGGCATACTAAGACCGCAGGCTGACATTAATTACATCAATTGACTTAACCAATATTTATTGCATGCCTTCTATACACCAGGCACAGAGAATGTAACAATGAAGAAATATCATCCCTGTTCCCAAGGAGCTTCAAGTCTAATACAGAAAACAATTTTTTAAAACTTTGTAAAGTAAATCTAGACATCAATTATCTCATTAAACAAACATTTTTTAAACACCTGCTATATATCAGGTATTGTTTTAAAGAATGTAGGTACCACTGTGTCCTGCAGATATAAACAGGACACAATGGCTGCCTAAAAGAAGGTTTCATAGTGAGGAAGACAAGCAAAATCCATTACAACATAATACAATAGCACTCAACATGATAACTGATGTGATGAGGTATGAAGGCAGCAACATGAAATAGAAAAACTAAAGATCTTATTTAATAACAATGTAGTTTTGTATACTTCAAGGAATTTTCACATGTAATTTCACTTTATTCCAATAACAAGCCAAGAAAATTAAGACAGATGTCACTAGCCACTCCGTGAGGAAACATAGTAAGGTTATAACTTGCTCAGGTCACCTCAAGTAACAGTAGAGCTGAGATGAAGTCCAATGTTCTTTTCTTTTTTCTGACTCCATTCCTCACCATATTACCCTGGATAAGACACTTGGTATTTCTTTGTCATAGTTCTCTCATTTGTAAAACAGGGTACTAGCTACAGTTACTTGGGAGAAGGATCAAATAAAACAACATAAGTCACCCTGGCCAGTACAGTTCAGCTGGTTGAGCATCATCCCATGCACCAAAATGTCACCAGTTCAATTCCCAGTTGGGGTAAGTGTGGGAGGCAGCCAATGGGTGTTTCTCACAGCAATGTTTCTCTCTCTCTCCTCTCCTCCCTCCCTCTCTAAAATTAATTTTTTTAATTGTTTTAAAATAAGTCAACAAACTTTGAGATGTGCAAATACAATGCACATATTCTTAGGCATGCCTCCTTTCTCTTACAGAAAGCCAAAACACTGAGTAAACAAACAAACCTTGCTGGATTTTAAAGAAAAGACATACACTCAAGGTCATCCATATAACTTTATGACTAATAAAGGCAAAAGGACCACAGTTCATATTTCTGTTGGAGTCCTATTGACCCTACAAGACAAATAATCAAGTTTAGCTAAAAAGGAATGTATTCACCTATATACCATATTCTAACTATTAAGGATCCTATCAAACACCTGAATTACAAGAAAGACAGATTCTGCCTCCATTCCTCCCTATTGTGGAAACAAGCAGTTTTTACTAGTCTATCTAAAATAAAAAAAATAGAGGCGGAGCTTGAAGATGGCGACCGAACAGTCGGACCTATTCTGACTCTGGTTCCAGAACGGATAAAGGGGGCTTCTGAGTCGCTCAGGGAGAGTTGATTGGCAGCTAAGGGACAGCGGAGCTCTCAAGGAGGGTAAGGGAGAGTCCGCTGGACAGGATTTCCTGACCAAGTGGCCAGGACGGCCGCGGCAGCAGCAGCAGCAGCAGCAGCAGCAGCAGCAGCGGCGGGGGCAGCGTGCGGTGGGCTGCGGGCGTGGAGGAAGGGCTGCATCGTCTTGCCAGGAAGGAAAGAGCTTCTCTGAGGCGTGGAAAACGCACAGCCCGGAGGTCCATCGAGCAGCTGAGACTCCCAGAGCTGCGCAGACACGTGGATTCCGGGGAGATCTTCAGTCACCCACGGAAAGGTCAGAGTTTGCGGGGATAGCCTAAGGGATCTGGGTTCCGCGGCGGCGAGCTCCGGCCCCGCCTCCACTACGGCAGCCGGGGAGCTCCGGCCCCGCCTCTGCTACGGTAGCCGGGGAGCTCCAGCCCTGCCTCCACTGTAGACGGGTGCGCGAACTACAGCCCGCGGAGGCGGAGTGGAGCCCAGAGAAGGCTACAGCGACACCTAGTGCTGGGTTTGAAGTAATCCCCCCCAGAAGAGGGGCTTTTTTAAAACGCCAGGGGACAAGGGACAGTGTGTTAAGAATAGCGGCTGTCCCGCCAAGGGCGGAACATCTGGACACCTTGGCACCGGTTCCCATTCATCCCCTTGCTTCTGAATACTAGAGAAGAACTGCCCAGTTGGGCATAGCCGGGGAAATTGTAGGGGGAATTTGCCTTCTGGAAACAAGGGATTGGAGCCAGAAGACATAGTCCTGGAGCCAGCTAGAGCCATAGAGAAAGAAGGCCAGAGCAACCAAAAAGACTGGGAGGTCAAACCGGAAACACTGACACCTAAGAGCCGAATTACAAACTGCCTTTTTTTTTTTTTTTTTTTTTTCTCTTTTTTCTTTTTATTAATCAAAAATAAACGGACACAAATAACTAAGATATAACCTGCTTAAAATTAAGGTTTACCTTACAAAACTCAGGTGCAGTGGAATGCTGGGGACTGCAAGACTGTCTGGTCTGAGAATCAGGAGTGCCAAATACATTAACAGAGGAAGTGAATGACCACTACTGGACATTTTTATGCTAATTTTACTATTCTTTATTTTATTTTCATTTTTTACATCTTTTATTTAATTTTCACTTTTTATAGCATTTACTTAAGAAAATTTTTTTCTATTTTTTTCCTTACTTCATTTTACCTTTTCAATTATTACATTTTTCAATCTTTACCATCACTATTACTACTGCTATTTTGCAATTTTTGTTTCTTTCCTTTTTTTTTTTTTTTTTTTTGTTGTTCTTTGTTTTTTCTTGTTTGTTTGTTTGTCTGTTTGTTTCCTCTCCAGTACCATTTTATTTTATTTTTTTTCTGTATTTTACATTGGGAATAACCTCCATTCTATTTTAATCACTACTTTAGCATCATTCAACCCTATCTCAACTTGACCTTTACACCATCACTCTCTTACTAAACTTTACCCTTTTAGTCAACGGTTTATCCTATCCCTTTCCGGCTCTAGATTTTCCTCTATTCTTTCTGTATACCCCTTGCTAAAGCTCTCACTATACGTATAGACCTAAGTTCCAACCCCTGATCCAAGTGTATAAATACCAATTTCTGTACTATATTAACTAGTTAAAAAAAAACAAAAACTGTTCTCCCCTCTATCCTTTGCGCATTGTTTGTGTGAGGGTTGATTATTGTGAATTTTTATGCTTTTTAGTGAAATGGTTATGCTTATTCCTGTGTTGTTATTGTTGCATTGTATTTTTTTTTAAAATCCTCTGTTTTTGTTTGTTTCTATTACTTCTGTATATCATAGACTTACTTAATAATAGTGGATATTGTAGTTTGTATTAATCTCCAAGTATTGTTACTGGCATTGGCTGGGTTCAGTAGTTGTTCTATGGCAATTTTCTCCACATATATATAGTTTGTTTCCCATTTCTCTTTTAGTTTGCTTCTTCTCTCCCTTTCTCTCTCTCTCTCTCTCTCTCTCTCTCTCTCTCTCTCTCTCTCTCTCTCCTTTCTTTTTTTCCCTGTTTTCCAACTTTATTTTGTCATTACTTTTTTTCTTCTCTTTATATCTCTTTATCCTTCTTTTTTTATTTTATTTTCTTAATTTTTTTTTACATTTTAATTTTATAAAAAATTTTCTTTATTTTA